TATATATCCATATTCTGATGCGAGTTCTCCTTAATCTTTTGTTGCTGCCAAACGTAGCTGAGGAACAGTTTCGTCAAAACTCAACTACATTAATATCATATGTTTGCTAAGTTCTAATTTCAGTTCTAACTCTTAATATTGTTATGCGTGTGAGAGGAAAAGTATGGCTAATCCATCTCATGAACTGACGTGAATCTCTGATCCTAATCCTACAAGAATGTAACGATCAGATATATCTTTCTACAATAAAATATCTTTCCCACAAATTAGAATACATACACTGATAATTTTTTATAGTGTTATCTAATTTCATATTGTTACATGGTTAAAAAATAATTACTTTAATTAATTGATAGTATACATTGATAATATATCAAAATTAAAGTATTACTTTAATTATTATGTAATAAAATTTATTGAAAAATTATAACTTATGATGAAATTTTCTTCAATGATACATAAATATACATGCACCCTAAATTTTGGCAACCGAATTGTAACTGAAATGGTAGGTCAACTATAGACACAAATCGTCCTAATTAATTGGTAGCATTGACATGGACATGGACAAAGTGTCACCAATGGGCTCTGGTGAAGCAACCTCCTCCAGAAGAAATGGAAAAGCTGCGTGTGTTGCAGTGCCATTTGATAGAGAACATAGAAAGTATTATAAACATGAGACTTTTGTTTTGTTTAGCCATTTAGGATCTAAAATTTGTGTGAAAGAGAAAGATGGGTGAGTAAGAGTGCTTTCAAAGCTTGAAATTTAACTATAACAAGCAAAGTTTTTCTTCAAGGCTCTACAGATTCTTTAGTCATCCTTTTTTTTTAAATATTTTCTTGAATCATCGCATGTAGTCTATGTAATCCACTTGTTACTAGTACTGAATCAAATTCAGATAAATAATTTGTATTGAGTATGATATACTAATTTAAGGAGATAAAATATTTTAATTAAACCCCTATTCTAATAATTCATTAAACTTGAATAAGATATCTTAAGTTTTTTATATTTAATTTTTAATTTTTAGTTTAAAAATTGTATTTTTTAAATTTAAATCACAAATTATTACTCTTTGATTCTTTTATTCAATCTAATTTGACCATTACAATAATAGTTCAAGAAGAGCAAGAAAAAAAAATGACAAGCTGAGTAAGAATTATGAAAATAAAAATAGTTATAATAATAGTGGTGATATATAACTAAGTATAATAATAATAATTACATATATTATTATTATGATAAAAATTATTATTATTATTATTATTATTATAAAAAAAGTAATAATTGAGCAAATAATAGCTGATTAATTAACCACCAAATGTATAGATAAATTTATAGGGATTATTTTAAGTTAAATTTCAGTTAATGTAGTTATATTAAATATTTGAAGAAAAAAAAATTCTCGTAATAATTTTATCTAACTCAATTAAAATTACTTCTAATTAAAAATACTGTTTTAGACCAAAATAATAATAATAGTTGACTAATATTAATAATAATGTGTCTTTTATAAGAGAGGAGAGAATTCAATAATTTAATACTTTTGTAAATATTACTTATTAAGCTAATTATATTCAACAAGTATTTCATATCTCATGCAATTGTGATGAAATAAAGATCCCACAAAACATAATTAACTTCCTTCTGCACAACAAAAGCGATTATTGCATATACTGTGAGTGTCGTAGACGGGTGGAGGGAATAGCAACTACAGGAAGTGTCAAATTGTCAATACCCTAAATATTTATTGGCTTTTGATTTACACTTAGAGCCTTCCCCAGTCGTTTTGATATATATTATGGGTGAGGTGATTTATAAAACATTATTTAAAATTTAAAAAATATTATAAAAATAATGTTAAATAATGATTGAATCACCTTTCATAAACAGGAAAAGAAATAACAATAAAAATCTCATATTAAAAAATTATAACTCAGATTTATGATATAAAAGTTGATTTATGGTATGTGTATCTATTAACATCTATTCAATTTTATTTTAGTTTATCTAGTTTGATTTGTCTAAGGTTGTTCCACCCTTAATTTAATTTAAAATTATAAAATTAAATTAAACTATATATAACCAAATAAACATCAGGTTCAAATTAGACTCGATCGTTTGTCATTCAATCATGCTACTTTTTTTTTATGGAACAATCTAGATGAAGCTAGCTGGAGCTAGTGCAGTGATTGCCATAATTAAAGAGCACAATCAAACAAAAGATGGATAAATTTACCCTTAGAAGGTGCCTTCCTCATTTGTTTTGACAGATAAACTTACACTTAGAAGTAGCCTTAGAAGAAGCCTTCCCTCTCTTGTTTTGATATATTATTGATTGATTAAGAAAACCACGATTGGGATGTAAATTTGGACTTTCCCTTCCCAACCCTAAAAATGGGAAGGACACTTGATAAATCATGGAAAAGATCATTGACTTATGGACAAAATTAATGAATAAGCAAAGCACTACACATTTGCTTTCTCATAATCTCTCTCTTTTTTTCAATATTCATTGCCCTCAATTAGGATGTTCCACTAAATTAGGTAGCCTAATAAGCTGTTACTCAAATAGATCTCCAAATAAAAAAAAGCACTCGATAATTACACTGTCCTCCTCTTTTTTCTTTTTTTAATCTTTAGCCATTTGGTAATCTTGCTGGCAATCAAACCTAAACATAGCTGTTTCTTTTTAGACCTTTCTGTTCATGAAGATGTAGCACTTGTGAAAGAGTGCGTGAAAAAAATATGATTACTTTGGATTTCCATTAGAGTGACAGCATTACTAACAATTTGAATGTTACATTATGAATATTTATATATGTCGGAATAAATTATTAGTGAGCAAAATAAAAGATATCCCTGTGTGTGTTATCAATGAGTTTTACTTTCTATTATTCAGGTTAGAATTAATGTGGATTAGATTGTTTGGATATTTCTTCTCCAAGATTGCTTAGTGTCAAATGATTTGATAAAAATGTTGGGTTTTCTTTTAAACGTTTTAATTTCTTGTAAATGAATCAGATCAAACTAAGTTGTTTTATTCTTTTCGTTCAGTTGATAATTGGACTCGAAAGTTTTAGGATATCGTCTCAATGTAGTACATTAAAATATCTCAAAGTCTGATTTGATGAGTTTTTTCTTTTACAGATGACTCAGACCAACTAAATTCGAATTAGTGCGGGTCAAATTGTATACAGAGTTAGAATTTTTCAAAAAAAAATTATCCAAAAAAGAGTATGAAAAAGACATAGGTTGAGCTAGGGTTAGTCAGATTGAAACCTTTTACTTAAAAGCCAATTTGAAATAGATTAGGTATGTCGCTTATGAAATCAAGATAAATCAACAATCAAATTCAAATATAAAAGTTACTTATAAATAATAAAATAAAATTCAAATCATAAACCTCATCCTACGATCAAACTGTCTTTAAGAGTTACTTAATATCAACATAATCTTTATATTCACAGGTGACTCAGATATTTATCACGTTAAAAAAAAAGAATTATCATCGTATTGAATTATGAATATGTCATACACGTGAATTTAGATACAATATTAATTTAAAATTGCGTTAGGTAACGTCGTAAAAACTCTTATTTTAAGTCTTTGAAAATATTATTACTTATTGATATTTTTTATTTACTAAACATTGGGAAAAAAAATAATGAAACAATAACTATGTTTAGCACTTTTGGTTTTTTTTTTTTTTCATTCAAATAATGTCTTTCAACATTTCCTAAATTTGTTTTTTCCAATGTATCAAGGTTGTTGTCAATCCACAAAACCGTGGCATAACTTATTTGAAGCGTTCACAATAAAAAAAAATGTTTAGATTATAAAATATTTTACAAGAAAAAAAGTTGAAGCTAATGAGTGGGCCGAATGCATAGGCCCGGATGTCTATAAATTGGGTTAAAAGCCCATGTTAAATTAAACCCATTATGGTTTGTGGACCAAAAAAATACCCATTATGGTTTATGGATTCTGGACTAGACAAACAGGCCTACTGGCAGAAAAAGTTATTTTCTCGATAAAAAAAAAATCATTTATTTATATAATTATTATTTTTATCACATTTAATATGAAAAAACATTAATAACTAATTTAAACCTTAATATATCTGATACTAGTTTAATATGAATATGATTCTTGATATGATTTGTTGGCGATGCTTGGGTTTCTCGACTTTTTATGAAGTTATGTATTCAATATTTTGTCAATTTTAAAAGATTTCGGAGATAACAATTTAGAAGTTAAATTAATCAATAGCTCATTAATTATTTGAAAAACTTTGAATAAAATTTTATAATTCAAAAGTTTGTAATTAAATCTTTTAATTTTTTAACTCATTTAGAGTTTCTTATTGTATTTTTGTATGAATTTTGTTAAGTAAGTAAATTTAATACAATTAAGAATAATTTAAAACCCGCTATTAATTTAGCCTAATTTAGAAGTTAGGTTTCCAAATCATTTTTCCAATTTGTGGTGCTAGGATCAAGCCTGTAAGGTATCTAATCTTTCTCATAATCATGCAACACCTTTTTTTATATATTTTTCCCTTGTATTGGAAAAATGTTCTGTTCATAAAATTAGTTGGGTTTAACGTTTTAAATTAATGTTAGCTTAATTAGAAATTAATTATATAAGTTAGTTCTTGTTTAGTTTGAAAATTATTTTTTTTATTTTTAATAATAAAAATCACTTTAATTTCAATTTCTGAAATTAGATAAGCATGCTATAGAAATAATTTTGAATTATTAACAAAAAATAAATTTTTGGACTTGACGACACAAATTATCCAACTAATTTGAACTATCCAACTATGCGTAATTTTAGAAATGCAAACAGTAGAAACATATTGACCGTTGGATTGAAAAGAAGATACCATGAAATGAAATCTGAACGGTTAAGGAAATTAGGAAAGAGTATTTAAAAAATAAAAAATAGAGGTTGTGGTTGTTGTGGAGAGGTTGAAGGACGAAGAAGCTCTAACTGCTGGAAAAAGGTACAATCATTATCCATTTCTGGATCCGTAAATTTTGTTGTGCGTTTTCGTTATTATCGTATGTGTTGCGCTGATCTTTTGTTTCACGCTTCTATATCGGAGGCAATGACTCGTGTTGTTGTTTTGGGGCCCCTTCTTCGATTTTCTCGTCTCAAACAATTTCAGCGTTTGCTCCCTTTTATGACCAAACATTAGGGTTCCTTCAATTCAAGATATCAACTCCATGACAGTTAAATTGAAGAAAATTAATAATAACGATAACAACAAGAAGAACGTCGTAGTTATGAGTGAATAATCCTGATGAAATAAGCCGAAAAAGTCGATTGAATTACGCAATGGAAAATATCTGAAACGATTCAAAATAGGTGATGGAGTATTATTATTTTGATCTAGAATAATGGAGCCATGTTTTTAATGTTTGATAGTCACACTTGGACTTGACCTTTCAGGATGTAGGGATAGATACTTGTTGCTACTTTGAAGAAGAAAAAGAAGTCGGTGCTAGCTATTGGGTTAACATGGAAGTTAAAGAAGTGACTATTATTATTATTAGTGTTCATGTTCTTTTGCTTTTCACTTGTTTAGCTGTAAACTGAAAAAAAAAAAAAAATTGGCTTTTGTAACAGTGATAGAGATTTAATTGTAGGACGGCAGAAGAATTGGGGTTTTCTGGGGTGGATGAAAATTGTGTAGAAAGTAGGTGGATTGAAGGGAGATGGATGGCTTGTTGGTCAGATTAGTAACGCAATGATTGGGTGCTGGGAACTGTATCTGTGGGATTGGTGTTTCAGGTTCATGAATCATAGGGTAGTTTATAGGACAAATCGGAAAAGGTTTTGATTGAGTGAATATTACGGATTGAAGACAAAGACAAAACTGGGAAGAAGAAAATAAAGCTGGACTTAGATTGTGTTACACGATTCATTTGCTGCCTTCTGGCTGAATTATCTGTTATAGTTCCTTTGCCTTTAAAATTGGCCCCAATAAATCAGGAGGACCTTAATGCTGACTGAAAGTGTTGAAAGGAATCAGACTTATTGCTGCACGTCACATTCAGCCTCCTAGATACTCGCCAACTTGAGACCCAAGTTTCTTAGTTGTTGGATATTAAAAGTACTTCTCCATGTCAAGGACCACTTAGAATGCATGCTCTAAAAGTCCCTCCTTGTCTGATACAAGAATTCTCTCTTTGTATCTCTTATTCTATCTTCAGCACCTGTCTGCCACACTTTAGCTAAACCAATAAGCCTCATGCATTCAAATTTTACTCTCTGATCATCAGTCTTGTTAAACCACTCAAAATGCTCCGTGTAAGCTAGCCAATAAGATAAAATTGAGCAATTAAGTTCCATCTAGAATCTGGAACCCATCTTCACCTGCTTAGTACTGTCATTCACCAGTTGTATGACAAGGTTTGGATGGATCTTGGAACAATTTCTCTCTTAGCTATTCAATTATGCAGCATCGTGGTTCTTCTTGGCCCCAAACAACCCAAATTTCTTGTCTTCTTTATACTTTCTCACCATCATTTCATTCATGATTAGTGTCAATGATTCAATTCTGCATGTATCCTTGTTATTTAACTGTTCAACGTGTTGGGGTTAACCTTACAAGTGGAATGTCCCAAAAACTATTTTCAGAATACCGGATTTATACAATTAACATTTTAAGGAAAAGGGTGATATGGAATGGCCACATGCTGTTCAACATTTGCCAGTACCTTCAACTTCTTATTTTTCTGGTGCTGTCTTAATATCATTCTAAACACTGTTTCTGTTCTTATAATACTGATCTAGTAGGTTGCATTTTGTACTTATTTAAGGTGATGGGTATGTGTGTGTGTTAGAGAGAGAAATCAAAGACCGGGTTCTCCGGCAATGCTCTCAGACGTTGAAAAGGGGAATACTGATTGATAATAGTGATAGTAATTGAGTGGGAAGAAATGAAACATGACCTACAATGTACATGTGTTCAAAATATCTGATTGTTTGGATGATCTCTCAGAACGAATTTTGACTTTTGACTTGTAGGCAATAGCAGAAAGTTATATGGATAGCAAATCACCAAGCAAGAAGGCATCTGAGGAGCTGGCACGTGAGTTGCTTATTGGTATCTCTAACTCTTTACCAGACAGGATTCTGGATTCAGATTTTGTGCCTGAAAGCAAGAAAGCAGATGGATTTGCAAGACCAAACAGTGATTGGGATGACAAGTTTAGGTCTGAATTGATTTCAATCTCTTATGTTGAATCTCCCGATGTCAAAATCTGATAAATTACGACGGTAATCTGGACTCTGTCAAGTGTTAGTAACATGTGCGGCACTCCTGGTTTGTCATGTGGTTGAGTTCCCGCTGTGTCAATGTAATGACTTGTTATACTATATATTTTGTTTTGTGTTCTAAAAATAACTGATAAATAGTTTTTTCTGTGTTATATTTTTGTTGATGGAAAGCTCAAACTGGAGAATCTTACTATAAATCACACTAAAAGCTTGGGTTCATACTTCTTTGTACGGTTGAGAAGTTTCAATTACTGATAATGAGTATTGATTTAGGTATGAGTAAATTTATAAAGTATTATAAAAGAAACAAATCTGTATAAAAGATAAATAAGATTCAATTTGGAGAAATTTTAGAAAAGTCCCTATAAAAAAATCAGTATAATAAATAATAATTTTTTTCTAATAAATTAAAAACAACTTTTATTTTTTTATTTTTTTAAAAGTTCTCTCATTTAACTTTAATTATTTTTTATTTATAAAAGAAGTTTATTTATTTTTTAACATTAATTTTTTTATATAAAAAATTTTCTAGAAATTTACTTAAACAGGTTTAAAGTTTCTCTCATAAATTTAAAATAATTTATTTTCTCAAAATTTAAAATAGTTAAACAAGAATATTCAAAAATAGAAAAATATAAGTTGACTTTAACTTGTGAAATAAACTTGATTTATTTTATAATTTAATTTTTTTATTCTTATTGATAGTTTTTAAAAAGTTTATTTGAATTGGACATTAATCAGAAATATAGAACCGTTAAAGGTTTTGGATTCAAATTTTGTCGGTGGGTTTATCATTGATAGGCTATGTGTAGGGATGGAAACAGGTCAGGCCGCCTGACAGGGGCCTGTAGCCTGACTTGGCCTGACTTTTGGCCTGACTTTTTTAATCAACATATCAGGCTTAGGCATTTTTTAAGGCATGTTTAAATAAACAAATCAGGCCTGAGCTGTTTATAAAGTCTGTTAAGCCTGGCAGGCCGGCCTGTATATATATATATATATATATATATATATATATATATATATATATATATATAACTTACACATGTTTTAATTAAATTATTAGTCAATTTATCAATTTATATGTAATTTATAAATGTGTTTTAATTTATTGTATCAGTAATATTTTCTATATTACATTAATATTATAGTGTAGTTAATTTTATATTTATTTGTTAATTTAAAATAACAAATTAATGAGACAAATAAAATTAAATATTTTGTAATTATTTTTTAATTTAATAGTTATTATTATTTTCATTTTATATATATATAGTACATTAAGTTTAAATTTTTATATTAAGTTTTATCACATATTTTTAATTAAGATAAAAATTTAGAAATATAAGTTATTTTAATTTAAATATAAATTTTAATAATTCTTCCTATGTTCATATGTTATTTTTCTGCATTTATAAATTTTATAATATAAGTATTTATCATCTACAATTTTTATAATGACGATATTTATTTACTTTTTAAAATATAATAATTTTTTTAACTGATTCAATAAATTTTATAAGTGTTATTTTTTGTAATTATTTTTTTAATTTAATAGTTATTATTATTGTCATTATATATATATATATATATATATATATATATATATTGCAGTAAGTTTAAATTTATTTTTTTTAAATATATAATTTTCTTTTAATTGATTCAACAAACTATGTGAATGTTATTTTTTTTTTTATCAATTTTATGTATTTACTATAACTTTATTTGTTGAATATAAGATGTCTTTAAATAAACAAAATATGTTTTTAAAATAAAACTAAAATATTTACTATTTATATAATTTTAAAAAATAAAAAATATATAAATATAAATTTTATTAATATAAAATATTTATAATTAATACTTAAATAATATTTTAAAAATTATTTATAAAATTATATAAATATTATTATAATTATTTAATAATTATTAAGAACATAGATAGAAATTAGAAAAATATATAAACTAATTTAATAATAAAATATTTATATTTTTATTAATATTAATTTTTTTTAACAGGCTTTGTTAATAGGCTTTAAACCAGGCCATGCCACTTAAATAGGTCAAATCAGGCCTAAAATAAAGCCTTTAATAAGTAACAGGACAGACTCAGGCTTAATAATTATGTTATAGGCCAGGCCTATTTAGAGTAAAGTTTAGCCTGATCTGGCCTGTTTACATCCCTAATTATGTAGAACTATGACACGATGTCTTAACAGTTGTGGCATGTTTTGATTCTCTCTTCTTATACTTATGTTCCCCTAACATAAAATTCTGAGGCATATTTATTGGGTTCTAATTTACACTTGTAATACGTTATGCCTGCAATATATATTTTTCTTTTCTTCTTTCGGTCAACGCAATATTATATTTTTCTACTCTCAGTTTAGACCAACAATTATCAAATAATAATTTGCACTAATAAAAAAATATTATTACAATTTTAATTTGTTTACAATTCACACTACTTTCTCGTTCTATATTTAAATGCTTGTTTAATAATTTAATTATAAAAATGTCTGTTATAAAAAAATATAGTAAATATAGAATTTCATTCTTGAAAGTAATAATTTTTTGGTTCCTAAAAATTTTCATTTATACAATTTAGTTTAAAATCTATTAATCCTGAATAAATCAGTCATTTCATTGTTAAATTGACTAAATTTGAGAATTAAATTGGATATAAAATTGAAAGATATGGCTACTAAAGCATTGGTTAATATGATTGACGTGAGGGAGAAGATAGAAGCTGAACCTTCAATTTGGCTTTCACTTTTCTTGGGCGATGAAGAAATGAAAGCAGAAAGCAAGCGCATGGAGCATCGATGAATTAAGAGTCAACTATACGAAACTACAACTTATAGGCACACCTAATTCAAATTGTAGAATTCTACATACAAATTCGTAAACCATATGATAAAGCAAAGTTCAAATTAAGTAAATGTTTATACATTATACGACACTTCAATTCATGCCACCGTCCAATCTAAAAACCTATATGTTATACTAAAACCGTAGAATATGTAAATCTCTTGACAAATATGTTAGTTAAATACTTAATTAAAAACTATCTTTCGTTTTAAACTTTGTGCTTTATTTTTATAAGATTTAATCTTAAAGTTTTCAAAGGAAATATTTTAAATTTGGTCATCTAAAATTATACACTTACTTAATTAATTTTTTAAGTATTTTAATTATTAAATTAATTTCTTAAAGTTTTTGTTTGTGTCTTTATTTTAATCTTTTAAACATTTTAATAACAAATTAGCCTCTAATTTTTTAAATAATTTATCAAATATTTTTTTTAATATTTTTCTTAAAATTTATCATTAAACAGGCACTCAGTGGTTTTTTTATCACTTTAACCTTTCATGATATTTTATATATTTTAAAAGAAATTGATGATAAATTAGTTTTCAAAAAATGTGTAATAATAAAATATTTAAAAATTATGTATCAAGAATAATTTTTTTAAAGGATTAATATAATGACAATCGAAATGTTTAATGAATTAATTTAAATTAATAAACAATTTATATCAATATATATTGTGGCAACGTAGAATTGTTCCATATTAAACTTGACCTTTTATTATACATTATGATCCACGATAATGTGCGGTAGATATACAATTACGCAATTAAAAAGAGTATTTTATGTTTTTCACACTTAAAATAAATTAAAATATTTCAAGATATTAAAGAAATAAAAAATAATTAATTTAAAAAATATATAATATCTGCAAAAGGCGTAATTAATGCATGCTAACAGATTTAAAAGTTGAGTAAGAAGACAACACAGTAAATTTAAAAAGATTTCGTTAACTTTAGAGCTGTGTTTAAGAAAATAAAATAGAATTTTTTTATGAAAAAAGTATGTAATTATTATATTAAAATTATAAAATATAATAAATAATTTTTTAATAAAATTTTATTATTATTTGCAGCTTATCTTAGACCCTTAAGACAATTAAAGTTAATAAGACCCAAATTGAAATAACAACCCAACAATAATATTAAAAAGTTATGCAATTGAATGGCATCATGCATTTTCATATTACGGTCTGTCTTGTTTATGCATGATCCGGATCTTGCCCACGAGATTATGAAGAATTATTATTATCATTATTAACTAGCAGTTTATTAGTCGGTTGCTTGTATGAATTAATCAACCAATTAAGGTGCAATTAAGCAGAAACATTGAACGACGGCTAACACCGTCAAGCTTCCTGATAGTTGGACAAGTTATATATTTAAATACCTCATTTAATTAATTTGATTTTGAACAATTAGTCAAATATGTAACCAGCAAATTCATAATCATGCATATTTAATTAAGAAATTTAAGTTCACCCCTTCACCTGATCCTTTCTTAATCTCTTTTTTTTTTCATCAACAACTTTTCGCGAAAGCGTTATGAATAACTTTTTAACGAATCAATGACATGTGCAACTTGAAGGGAAAATTAATATTATATATATATATATATATATATATATATATATATATAATTTTATCGATGTAAATAAAAAACTCTTACATTGAATCTTTTATTTAAACTTAAGGAAAATAATAAATTATAATTCGTTAGATTTAAATTAAATAAAAAACTTAGATTAGATATAAGAATTTTTAGATTTATACTATATATATATATATATATATATATAAACAAAATAAAAAATATATTTAAAGAAGTTGCTACCATCAAATAAATTTTGACATGAATAACGCTTATTAATGATCATATGATTACAAACTTTTTTTTCTTAAAATATTAATATTGATTTATGTTAAAAGTTGTAACATCTTTTTTATACTTTTAATAAGTTTAGACCCGAAACTATGTGAAGCTTATTCAACTGTGTGTGTTCAAGTTCTTCGTTGTCCAACTACAACTAGGTCCAAACTCTTAAGTAGTAGGTAAAATACTCTTCAACTTATTACAGATGATCTGATAATTGATTTTGTTCATATTATACATTAAAAGAACTTTCAAGCGAAATAAATACGTTAGAAATTAATAAATATTTTGTCACCCCAAATCTGAACTCAAAGTGGAGATGTTACCTATTTAAGTAAACTAAACTTGCTGAACACTTCGAATCGGTTACCATGTAAAGATCATTTCGACGAGTTTAGTGAATTTACAATGTCATATCAACCCACCTGTTGCCACCTTGCAGACACATTTGATCACTACGTTACTCAATAAGAAAAACATAAACAAATAGATGGAAAAGTAAGAAGATCATCGATCAGGCTAGGATAAGAATTCGTCAAAGTCTATTAACTGTGAACATAGTAGAATTTCTAAGCTGCTTTTAGTATGTAACATTTGAAGTCAAAACTTTCGTTTAACTGTTACTTGTTTTAAGTGTCCTCTAATTCATCGAATGGGCATCAAGAATTATAACACAATGAATTGGTAAACCAATGAAACAATAATTATATGGTGTGGCCCCAAAGATCTCTGCCTAAAAAGCAGCCACTTAAAACTAATTAAGTCCAGTTGACAATCCAATATGACATTAACTTAGCCGTGATTATTTAAGTATCAAATATTAATAACACATCACAACCCACATGACTAGATCATCAATAGTGCATTAATTAGTCAACAATGTTTTCTTAATGTTGTACTTTTGTATTTTATGGTGTATATGTATATTAAAAAAATAATATATATATATATATATATATATATATAACATTAATATTTAGTGGTTCGAAAATTGTATATTCAACATGCAAAAGAGAGTACGGAACGGGGACAAGTCCGCACGTCTATAAGTACTCCTGAAAGAAAGTGTTGAGAAGAGGAATTTATTACTAGGAGTTGTGATTACCAAAGGGGGGAGAGATTGTAAATAAACAGAAGAAATTAAAGATGGTGTTTCTAGATTCTTTGTGGCTAACTCTAATAGTCGCTTTGTTGGGTGGATATGCATTTGTGTTTGGGTTCCTAAGGAGAGTGAATGAATGGTACTATGTTTCTAGGCTGAGAAAGATGCAACACTCTCTCCCACCCGGTGATATGGGTTGGCCTTTCTTGGGGAACATGCCCTCCTTTCTCAAAGCTTTCAAATCTGACCCTGATTCCTTCATCTATAACCTTGTTTCCAGGTCCCTTTTCTCTTCACTCTTTTCTCTCTCGTGCACACATACACTTACTTGCACCCACAATACATAATACTCACTCACAAGTCCCAACACATGATAACATTTTAAATGACTCTGATGTGGTGTTATATACACATATGTACCTATGCATGTATATAGATATGGCAGGACAGGTATGTACAGAACCTACTTGTTTGGGAGCCCCAGCATCATAGTTTGCACCCCAGAGACATGCCGTAAGGTTTTCACAGATGATGAGAACTTCAAGCTTGGATACCCTGCTTCTACCATGGCCCTCACAGGAAAAAGATCGTTCCATGGGATCTCAAATGAAGAACACAAGCGTCTTCGACGCTTAACCTCCTCTCCCATAACTGGCCACGAGGCATTGTCCATGTATATTGATCTCATAGAGGGTATTGCTGTGCAACTGTTGCAAGAGTTGTCTAGCATGAACACCCCATGTGAGTTCCTCGTAGAGTTGAGGAAGTTCGCTTTTAAGGTCATCACCACCATCTTCATCGGTTCTGATGGTTATCATGTTGACCTTGGCTTGGTTGAGAACTTGTACACCCACTTGAACCGGGGAATAAAGTCATCGGCTATCAATCTCCCTGGCTTTGCATTCCACAAAGCACTCAAGGTTAATTACTTAACATAACTAGAACCTTAATTACCTTAATCAGAATCATGAACAAGGTTAATTAATTTCATTGTCTACCAAGGGGAGGGTAGAGAATTGTAATTTTCAACGTCACACCATGCCACCTGTCATGAAGACCGCCAATAATTAAATTGAACGTGTAATTCTCATATTGAAGTTATCAAATAAGTAAATATTAACCAGTACTAAGAAGTTTGGTTAGTAACAAGTAATCAAATGTGAAATATTTTTATCATAAAATATAATTAATAAATCTTTCTGTAATTTTAGAGCAGTCAGATATATTTTTTTCAAAAAAATCACTTTCAATTCCTTAACTAGTTCCCTTAACACGTTGATTAGCAAAATTACCAAATATCAAAGTGCAATTCTTGTATGTCATTTAATGTAGAGTTTTATTATTACTTTATCTTTTTTGTTGTATATTCAGGCACGAAAGAAGTTGATGAAGATGCTGCAAGAGCTGGTGGACCAAAAAAGGACCAAAAATACAAAGACAGAGTTGAAAAAAGATATGATGGATTTATTGATGAAAGTCAAAGATGAAGAGGGTAGGCGACTGGAGGATGAAGACATTATTGACTTACTTCTGGTTTTCTTGTTAGCAGGTCACGAAAGCTCGGCTCATGGAATATTGTGGACCATCATCTACCTTATGGAACACCCGCATGTCTTCCACAAGGCAAAGGTTTAATGTTTTGACACATTTTTTCTCAATGTAGATATTCATAGTTTATGGTTACTGATTCCTTTTTTCTTTCCTCATAAAACTATGTACCGTTTAGAAAGAACAAGAAGAGATCATGGAAAAAAGACCCTCCACGCAAAAAGGGCTAAACCATAGGGAAATTAGACAAATGGAATATCTTTCAAAGGTATGTTGTGTATGAATTAATTATTTATATTCAGTTAATGTCATTAAGGTCTAATATATATGACATACAACTAGAGATCTAAGTTGATATGAAGTTTTAGATGTTACGTAATCTATATTTATGAGAATCAATCATTAACAAAAGAAAAAATGTGCTGCTTGAAAAAAAAAAATTATGCTCTGACGTAATATATTCTATGTTAGGTTATCGATGAGATGCTGCGCAGAACAAGCATCTCTTTTGCAAACTTTAGACAAGCAAAAGTCGATGTCAACATCAATGGTTAGTTATTCAATCCCATATGTTAATTTTCAGTGCTTCTTTGCAGTTGATATTTATTTTGTTCATTACAACACCCCAACATTTAAAACAAAAACTTAAAAATTGCAGGTTATATTATACCAAAAGGATGGAAAGTTCTAGTTTGGAACAGAGGTGTTCACATGGATCCTGAAACTTACATCAACCCAAAGGATTATGATCCTTCCAGATGGGAAGTATGTGTGATATATAGTTAATATTGAAAGTTTTGTTTTACTAATTAGACCCATTTTGAGTAAGTTTCTAGGGAGGTTTTTACAAGAGAAAAAAATTAATATAAAAAATAAATAATCTGTTTTATAAATTAAAAACTAATTTATCTCTACGAATTTTTGAAAAGTTAAATAAGAAAAGAGAACTTTATTCTTTATCTATGTATATATGAGTGAGTCTAATTTAATGAAGAAAATATGTAACATAATGTTATGTGTTAAAATGTGGTGCAGAAATACAAAGCAAGAGCAGGGTCTTTCCTTCCGTTTGGATTAGGAAGCAGGCTTTGTCCAGGAAGCGACCTGGCCAAATTTGAGATCGCCATTTTCCTGCATCATTTTCTTCTTAACTACAGGTTAATATTTTTGTTTTCACATTGCAATCATTGACTTTTATTGAAATGAAGGAGTAAGTAGAATGCTGTTTCAATTAGCCAAGTAAAGCCATATCCATGTGGTGAAAATTTGAAGAGGGATAACTAATGTTAACAATATCATTAGTTATTTTGTGTAAAACTAATTAAATTATGAATAGAAGAACCCACTAAATGAGGAATGAAACCTACCTCATTTAATATGTTTTACATGATTATTGATTAATAATAAAGAATTGTTTCTTAAATAATCATTTGTTTATTCTTAAATAATTTATTTTTCAATTCACACAAATTTTTTAAAACAAATTACGTAAAAGGAAACAACATCTAACCCATATCTGATGTCTGATTGGTTTTATACATTTAAACGGTGCAGGATGGAGAGAATTAACGCAAAGTGTCCACTCACTTACCTACCAGTGCCAAGGCCTTCAGACAATTGCCTTGCAAGAATTATAAAAACCACATAAATCATGAGATCAAACAAGAGCATAAACACGTGGCAATCTTGTATGTTCAAACCTTGTTTTATATTCTTGTAAATGATATTTGAATAAACTTAAAAGTCATAGGGGCATTTGGGCAAGGAATTTTCATATTTTGTATTAGCTTATATTATAGGCTAAAAAGAGAGAAATCAAATGTTCGTACATGGTAGTGCATTTTTTTATTGAATTTTGATTAGCTAAGAGTTTGCCCACACTGGTTTATTATTCAAATAAATTGCTATCAAGAAACCAATTTATGAAACTTGAAAAGAAAAAACGCCTCTTGCCCGACCTACCTCAATTATTCCTATGATTTTGCTTATTTCTCTCAAGTCTTTGCATCCTCACTTTTCTTGGAGGCTTAAAGTCAGCTCAACAAATCGTAATCCATCTCAAAGCGTAAACCTTATTTAAGGAAGAAAGAAATCATAAATTTACTGAATCAAAGGAGAAAAAAAATAAAAAACTTTGACTGATACATCAAGATAGAGAAATATGCAGTGAAGTCCAAGAAATGAATATACTCCACTCCCCTAAAATTATACGACTCTTGAGTTTACTGTTTTTACTCTTATGTTAGTTTTTGACTTAAATATGTTTTTATTTTTATACTTTTTTATATTATTATTTTAATTTATTTAGAATAAATTATTTTAATTCCTTGTTTTTTAATTGAACACTTTTATTTTTAGTAATAGTTAAATAATGACGTGATTAATTAAGAAATTATCGCTTATAAAGACTTTAAAATAAAAATAAATCTCAAAAGGTTAAGTGGCATTTATAAGTGAATTACTACAATTTGTGTATCCATTAAAACCATGCTAACTCAGCAGCTAAATTTTTACTTATTTATCATACAGTATTTTGAATTTAATTTAACAGGCTGCGTAGTTAAGCATATCAGGTATCACATTTTTAGTGGAACACTGTCAAAGCACACAACAATTCATAGTCTAAGTAAAAGGCTTCAAGCAGAAGCATGCGGCCAGAGCTTGTGTAGATTATAGAGAGGTTAAAATTTTTTAAGCTTGCTTAAAGCAAAATATTTATGAGCTATGTTCTTTCATATTATGCATTTATGTTAACTACATTTTAAGTTGTGAGTTTTAACAGCTACTTCCTGCAATTGAAAACGAATTGCCAATTTTCAACCACTGCTAGCACTCCTCAAGTGAAAATAATTATGCATAAAAATTCAAGGGAAAATAGCTGCTTAATTACACGATGAAGTAGACACACTGAAGTGTCAATCACAATAGCAGGGGAAGAAAAATGGAAAGAAGCAGTTCCATTGCATATTAAGAAACTCTTGAGAAGTTATGATCATGAACATATGAAGAATAACTGCATGAGGGAATTCAAACTTTAATGCTTAGCATCTTCTTCCTCACAAAATTTTGTGTACTCCTTTGGGCCCATCAACGAATTTAATTCAGATGGATCACTTGGCTTTACTTTGATCATCCATCCATCTTCGTATGGGCTTGAGTTTACCTTGAAGTGAGAAAAGTAGAAAAATAGACATGACCATGTATAAATTGCTGATTAAAAGACAAGGCAATTTACAGCATATTTCAATTCAATGTCAAAACAATCAGCCATGCAGGAGAGGAGCATTGAAGAGGGGAGGAGCTATGACTCTCCCCCCACAAAAGTAAAAATTTCACTAAATATATATTTTTTGCACATCCTTCAATAATTAAGAAACTAAACTTTTTAGTCTAAAATAATTTTTTTCTAATTTTTAATATCAAGTAGATAAAGTTCAAACATCAAATAACAAAATTATAAGTCATAAAAAATGAATAAATAAATTTCTTACTTACAGATAAGTTATGTGTGCATGACATATTTATTATATCAAGTAGATAAAGTTCAAACATCAAATAACAAAATTATAAGTCATAAAAAATGAATAAATAAATTTCTTACTTACAGATAAGTTATGTGTGCATGACATATTTATTATATTAATTATTTTTACTCCCTCAGTGTAAGCTCAGCCACTGCAGCCATGTGTTTATATATGTAACAAGTAACGTCGTGCAGGCCTTTTCTTTTAAATTTTGGAAGACAATCCTTCTTAGATCAAGTAGAAAGATACTGGTATAATGGTTAGAATTGATTACCAGGCCAGGCTTATCTGTGAGTGTTTTGTTAACCTCAATAATCTCCCCCGAGATTGGAGAGTTAATATCACTCGATGCTTTAACACTTTCAACTGATCCGAAGCCACTCTTCTTGGTAACGTTGCCACCTTTTTCTGGCAGTTCAACATACACAACCTCTCCAAGATGGTCCTGCAATTGCACATGGACAGCTTCACCCTCACTTATGTGCTAACATTATTTAACTTGTTCTTAAATTTAAATTCAACATAAACATGTAACATATGCTTAGACACTTCCATAAAGATATGCAAATGTGTTACACATAATGGGTTGGCTTAGCAAGCAGAAAAGGAACAAAATTGAAATTAAGGAGAAGAGGTCCAAACAACCAACCTGGGCATGATCAGTGATACCAATGGTGGCCACTGAGCCTTCATGCTTAACCCATTCGTGTGAATCTGCGTACTTAAGTCCATCCAAGACTGGGAATCAAGCAAAAAGAAGTGAGCTACACAGGTACATACATTCAAATTTATTAGAAAAATAATATGTGAAATGTGAAGGAAGTTGATATTTCACACACATATATTATTATAAACACATAGATACAAGTGGGGTGTGTGTGAGTGTAAATACCGGAAGATAAGGCTCTGGAGAAAGAGAAAGGAGGAGAAAGATGAGGTCTGAAGGCAGAAGAGAGTTTGAGTGCATTGGCAGTTGAAGAAGCCCACATCCTGAGTGCCATTATGATGTTTGAGGTGTGTTACTCTATTCTTCTTCTCTGTGTTGGTTGTGTTGTAGAGACAATATATCAGTGAAACAATGAGGAGGAGTTTTTCATTTATGTTATTCCAAAGTTTATCTTGGATGAATGGTGGGCAACGAATGCCTCATCCTCTTTATGTTCTGCCCTTTGTTTTATATTATCCTTTAAGTCCTCACCCTAACTTTAAAAAAATCAAAGCTTAACTTGTTAGTATTAGTATTACAAAAAGTTAATGAATAAAGATCAACTATCTTTTCTTTTGTAAGCCCAAGTTAAACAACATATAATCATTCGTTTAGGACCACCCCCACCTAATGAACCCAGATGCTTACACTCTACCACAAAAATAGTCTACCTGCTATAGATTGATATGGTTAAATGAAATAAATTAAAATAATACTAGTAATCATAATATTAATACACATACTTGGCAACATGCAAGAAGACTAAGGAGATTAATAGTTTCAATTTTATCAAGGGTTATCCCAAAGAAACAAATGGGAGTCGCTTACAATTTTTGGGCTCTCTAAGACCATATTGTGGGTTGTAACACTGTTTCAAATCCATACACCACCTAGCCCAAATTTCGTACTTGCAAGTTGCAACGGACTTTGTTCATCAAATATTAATTAACGTTAGTTCTCTTGAAAGATAAATAAAGAAACACAGGAAATACATTGAACTGTGTTTTTTTAAGTTTGGAAAATTTCTTTAAAAATGTTTTACAAAGTCAATGTTCAAAAGATGTTTTTTAAAATGGGGGCAGTTGAATTATCTCAGGGTTCAAAAACCAATTGCTCAAACATTTAAACAATGTTTGTAAACGCATATTTTAAGTAAAATTTGAATTTAAATAACTTATTAAAAGTTCATAGAACAAACTCGAGTTAAATAAATAGATAAAGATAAGGATAAAAAAAAATACTTGATATTTATCATGGTTCAACCTTAAAATTATTTAAAAGTTGTGATTAGAATGTGATGATAAAATCAGCACATGAAAAATAGCTAAAAGTTAAAAAATTAATTAATTAAATTAAAAGTATTTGATAAAATTAGTTATTGAACTAGCTGATAAAATATAAAATAAGAGATAAGAATATTATTAATTCTTATTTCAAAATTTTAAATTTGATAATGGTATATTTTAATAAATTATACATTTTTAATCTTATTTTTATTTTAAAATAATTTATTAAATAAAATAAGATAATATAAATTTATTACTATATTTTGTAAATTTTATATTATAAGCATAATTTTAAATAATTTTTTTATATTTTAATAAAATTCCACGACAGAAATATTTTTAAAAAGGTAAACATGAAAGGAGAAAAGGTAATAGAATTTTTTAAATTAAAAATATACTAAAAATTAATTAAAAAATCAATTTTAACTAATAGTTAAAAATAGCGTTTAAAAATATGTTAGTTAAAGAAGCATTCAAAAAATTTAGTAATCACTTATGTTAACTTAACTTGTCAAAGAATTGTTTTTATTGAACGATTTTCTTATTAATAAATAAACTTCCAACTAACACACTTTTAATTGTCAAAGCAAAAGTTAATATTTATAATGAATATCCAAACATAAATGATATTATACCTAACTTTAACTTCTAAGTTCTATTGCATAAACCTCGTCAATTCTAATATTCACATATTATTTCTTGAACTAATCTAAGTGGAGTCTTTCACATTATGAGTGTTTTAAGAAAACTATTATATAGACATTTTCTACCTGAAAAAATTAATAGCAAAACTTCGAATAGTCTCTTAATTACTCTGCAAGTGCAGACGATAAAAAGGGGGAGGGGTTAGAAAAGATGAATGGAAACGTTTTAGTTGCTTTATCTAAGAATTATTTGTTTTAATGTTATACAAATTACTTTTTCGTGATTAAGTGTATTTGTGTTAGAAGTTCTTTTACGGAAATACAAGTGTTACTAATAAAACTTTGTTCTACATTATTACGTTAGTGTACAATGGATCGCTTAAAATATACCTGTTTAAGATTTTAAAGGAAAAATGATTTGACTTTGTTTGTTTTCGAATAGGAAATTATTATGTAAATTTTGAAAGTTACCTAAACCCTAAGCAAGTTCTAGTTTTCCAATTCTGAAAACTCAAAAATCACATAACTACACACAAATCGTCAAAAGGATACCTAACACTATCCTTACCCATCAAGTCCAACACCTCAATGGCCTTACTTATGAGACCTTTTAAGCTTAATTTGTGAACAATGTAAAAGAGAGTAAAGGAAGAGGGTAACACATCATGGTCCCTTATGCAACATTGCAAAATTGAGTGTGTCTTTTTGGAGTCTTGGTGCTTCACATAAGAGGCCTTCGAGGGGACTCTCACACGAAAGGGGTAATGTGCATTCTTTGAATTTGTGAAATTTGAGGAATGTTAATGTAAAAATTGAATATATTTTGTGGTTGTTTAAGATATTATTAGTGTTGAATTGAAAACTTTTTCTATCATAACAGTAATGTACATGCAAATATTATAGGACACATACTTTTTGGTAAAAGCATTTGCAATAAAATAAACTAACGCTTAGAAGATGAATCCAACACTTGTCATTGGATTCAACGAGAGAGAAAGAGAAAGAAGAATAAAGTATTTTAGAGAGGAAAAAGAAGACTCTATTAGTAACGAAGTCCAACTTTAAAAAAAGAACAACAAAGTAGTGAGATTTACTAAATTAAGAAAATAAATAAACTAAAAGCATGCAATTAAGAATGGAGAACTAAAATTGAATAAATACAATAGTTCAAAGAGTAAAAGTGCAATTTAGTCAAAGAACATGTGTGTCAAATTTATTGCCACCAAAAAATTATTTCATATAATTCTTTACCAAAAATATTAATCTTTTAGATGTTTTTTATGATTTTTTTTAGACGCTACAAAATATAGACTTATTTAATTTTTGTACTTAAAAAGTTTATTGTTCAACATAATATTTATTTTATAATTTTAAAATTAATTAAAAACAAAAAATATAGTATAAGATTGTCCAAATAAATTAATATATCATATTTTGTGAAAAAAATGATTAACATGTCTTTTTTTATTTTGAAAAATAGGTTAAATTTTTTAATTCAACCCCGTTTAAAGGTAGACCAACGTACTAAGTCAGCCTACCAAAAATAATAAAACCAAAGTTAATAAGTCAATAAATTAATAAGATAGTTCACCTAAAACATTTAATTATATAAATGAATATATTCATAAAAATTAATATTTAATTAATAAATAATTAATTTTTAATATCATTAACAAACTAAAGCAAAAGTGAACTAGACAGACTAATAATTTCAATACACGTCATAAAATTTATCTGTCCTTGCTAAAGTTTAGAAGTTTAAATCCTACGTATAGGCGAAAGGGAAAGAAGTGTTAATCGAAGTGTTCATAAGGTGTTCTTGTATGTTGTTTATAAGTAGATTCAACCAACATTGATCGTGGCATGCTATATATGCTCATGTTTGAATTTTCTTCTACACACATTCAAATTGTACGTCATAAAAATGTATTGCTATATAAGTAATTCTTAAAAATATAACAAAAAATTGAAAATATCAATAAATAAAGTGCAAGGAAAAAATAAATTAAAAATATAAAAGTTCGTATAAGGGCAATTTCGAAAATACATAACAATTTAAAAAGATTCCTTCGCATTTAAAATTTATAAGAGTTTCTTTCCATTTTTAGTTACGAAAAGAACAGTTAAAGAATATTTAAAATTATATAAAAATTTGTGATTTCTTGAACAAACAAATTTAGAATACTTTACACACTTTCCAGGGTTAATGAAATGTCCTTCTCATCTTTGTCTCCATTCTTGCATAAAAAATAACATTTTTTTATTATGTTAGATGAGAGAAGAAAAAATGATTATCTGTTATATTTTTAAAATTTTAACTAAACGAGTACCAAAACACTTTCCTCTTCTCTTTTTCTTCTTCTTTTGTCTATTATAATTATATTTTTCTTTTATTCACTTAATTATATTTTTCATTCTCTTAATATGAATCATGTACAATATTGATTTAAATTAGATATTTATTCTTTGAGTAAAGTTCCGACAAGATGGCGTCGAAGTCGGAAACGGTGGACCTAAGTTTCAGCAACTCTGTCAAAGGTCGTTGACCAACTGAGATATGTTGTGGGCCCCATATTTACAATTTATGATTTCGCACTATTATATAGTATTTGTGCTACATTCATATAATATATAGTATTTTCTATTGTAACATATATATTCACATAGAGTAGTTGGCATCGTTGGCACGACACTAGTTTTCTTGCGTGTCACTGACGTCTTCACTCTTCACCCATTTTCAAGAGACCCAAATGGAAAGAAGCTGCTCGATTAGACCCACGCGCTTATGATAAAAGTGACACGAATTTAAATGTAAATAAATAATATAATATAAGACGACTATTTATAACTAAATAATAAAATATATATTGTGCATAGTGTGTATACTGTAGCGACGTTGACATACGGTGACTCTGTAATAAACTCACCAACTCGGATTTAGAAAATTATAAATTTGACCTCTGCTTCTCAGAATTTTTTTTTAAAATTGCCCTTTATGTTTTTACCTTTCAATTAAATAATATAGTTTTTTAAAAATAATTTATGATTATTGAATATGATTGAAATGTATATTAATATTAATTTGAATTTGAATTATATTTCGATATTACAATAGAAATTTTATTAAATGGTACGAATAAATATTTGTTTAACTTTTGCTGCGAGCCGCTGTCGTCCCTTCCAACCAACAAACTCTTTGACTTGCAGAGCTGCAGACACGGGAAAGAGACAGATTCTGATTTTTATCTGAGATTAGTATAGATTTCAGAGTGTAACAATTCCTACATTTTTTTTTCAAATTAATAACAAAATAATCCTCTGTTTCGTCTGTTTCATTTAATTTTTTAATTTTTAATTTATTAATTTAATTTATAATTTTAATAAATAAAAAAGCATATGTTTTTAACTGTGTAAATATTTATAAACTTGTGTTAACTTTAAATATAAAAAGTTGAAATAATGAAATTAAAAGAAAATAATTTTTTAACTTTTTTTTTATGTGGACCTGGTAAAGTTTGATTATAAATATGTAAAAGCCTAAATAAATTTTTTCATAAGTACTTATAAGAATAAAAATTAAATAATAATATAAATCAAACACATTTTTTAAGAAAACTAACGTATACTTCTTTTTAAGATACTGTTTGTTCAAATGTTTTGAAAATTTTTTATAAGAAAAAATCAATATAAAAAATAAATAAAATTTTGTTGGTAAATTCAATTATAAATAACTTCATAATTTTTTAATTTTAAAAATTTATTTTATTTAATTTTTAAAAAATTTGAATAGATAAATTATTTTGAATTTATGAAATATATTTTCCTTCTTTTGTATACTAATTTTTCTTTTACAAAAAGTTTGTCAGTTTATTTAAATAAGGCTTAAATTAAGTTTAATTTGAATAAACTTTTTAATAAGTACTTGTAAGAATAAAAAACTTAATACTTAACACAATAAATTTGTTAATAAGTTTTAAAAAAATATATATATATAATAATTTTTTTATAAATTAAAAATAGTTTATTTTAAATTTAAAAAATGTTAAATATGAGTAATTTTTAAAATATAAAAAATCTAAGTTGATTATTACTTAATATATTATTAGAAATATTTATTAAGAAATTTATTTAAATTAAACTTAAGTGGTAAAATAAAATAAACATATTTTATAGATTAAATTAATTTATATTTATCTATTTTTTTTATAAATTATCTTATTTATTTTTAATTAATTTTTTTTAAAAATCTACTTATTTTTCACATCTATATTTTTATCTTATAAAAAATTTTCAAAAAATTTACTTAAATTGAACTACAACCATTCACTTCACTTAATGCTTAATGTCAAAATTAGACAAAGTACGTTAGTAGCGTTTAGTTGTGGGACAAAGACACTAAGATAGAGATACGGAGACACGTGTATTATGTTTGACTAATGTCTAACTGGAGAGACAGACACAAAAGACATGTAGGACACAAATTCAAAGGATACCAGTGTACCTCCTGAAAGAATGGACACTAGTGTCACAGTTCTAAAGACATAGAGAATAAACTTTTGAAAATAAAAATACCTCTCATAATTTTTAAAAATTACATAAACTACCCTCATAATTTTTATATTTAAATACAATACAATACACAATACACCGTATTCTATTTTTACTTTCAAATACAATACACATACAGAAACATTGGATTTGTAAACTCCGATAAAAAAAAACCAAACCATAAGGATTGGGAGAATGGATGGCTTCTAAGGCCCGGGCTCGATCCTACACAATTGACCTGCTTCATATTAGATAGTATCTGACTTACTTAATGCACTCTCAAGCATTCGCATTGCTATCCTATCTTCGTGTTAAGGGCACAATGGAAATAACTACTTTCTCTATTGACATAATATTCATTCAATGGCCAGACGGACTGTTCCATTATCAGGCTTAAACCACTGTCCTTCATTGTTTCAGTGTCTGTCTCCAGTATATACGAACGGTAACGGTATCTAAACGCTACCTTATTTTTTGGAAAGGGAGAAGTTTTCACATTCCACTTTATATTTTTTTAGATGCTTAACAACTAATAGTAACAATAATAAGATACAAATTTGAAATTAGGATGAAAAGTTCATTTTTTTTATTAGATTAATTTTTTTATTATGTATACATGCATGTCTTGAATAAATCTTCTATGTATAAAATGATTGAAATAGATTTTTTTCTCTGAGAATGTTTTTTTTTAATTGTACATTATATTAAAAAATAATAGATGTTGTTGTTAATTTCTCCTTTTAATTTTAAATTTAATACCTTGAACTAGTTATGTATATTTGTACATTCTTACCTTCTATCATTGATTTATATTTTAATAGGCATTATTTTCTATTTCGATATACATTACTCATGTATAATTATAGTATTTTTTTTTCTTTTAGTTTATATTTTTATGCTCTATCACATGTATTGATTTGAACAGTTGAATTTTGGTGGGCTAGCGTATAAATTTTTATACAAAACACAATTTATATATGTTTTTATATTAATTATTATAAAAATAAATAATTTTACAAAAAATTATAATTTAGTGAGAATGTAAAGAACTTTACATTATTATTATTTTTAAATTAATTTTAAATATATATAAAAATACATTTTTATTTCTTAATTACATGTGCGGTCCAGAATTTGATCTAAATTTAGCAAAAATTCCATCGGCGAAATTGCAGTTTTGGTACTTGTTTTAGAAAAATGTTTCATTGGAGAAATTGCAGTTCAGTTAAATCGCTGCAAAAATAAGGATACTTTGGTAAAAAGCAACTGAGAAATTAATCAAAGGTTTAAAAGCTTTTTTAAAAAATTATTAAGTTTACAAATATTTAACGAACCAATTATTGAACGATTTCATAGAGATAAAAAAATATTATTTTATTTAATTTACTGTCCCTCGTGAAATATATGCGTAATTATGTTTAAAAAAAAATTATTTATTTTAGTTTTTTAAATCATAAGTGTCCATTACCTCAATTACACAAAATTTTCTTTAATTACACTATTTCTAAAAAATTACAATTTTAATGTTTTTGTATATCGATTTTTATTGTCATTTAATATTAAAAGGAGATAAAATGAATGTTAATTAATTCCATTTACGATTAAAGCGAAGCTTTTATAAATTTGAGAATAGATAACTGAGGCTTATAATTTAAAATAAATAAATAAATGTTTACTAAAAATATTTTTTTCATGCATCTGTATACAGTTTAAGCAAATAAAATATGATAAAGAAATGATTAGGTAAAAAATATTCCTAATGACCTTATGACATAACATTACATGTGATTGAATCTCAATGTTCACCTTTTTTCCTTCTCGTTGAATCTTCCTAATAAAAGCTTGAGGTAATGAAGTAAAATAACATCAACAAAAAAGAGTACCAAGAATTTGACGATACTTTTTTTTTTTTGGTTGACTAATTTGAACGGTGCTTTAGAATTTAAGGGGACCAGCTGAGTTAGATTCTCCAATTCAAAGTACCGGTTTCATGTATTATCAGTTAATTATTAATATGATAATTTTTAAAATTATACCTAATTTAAAATATATTTTCTTAAAAATGATAAATAAAAAGAAATCGAGCATTTATTTATTACAATAGAAATATTAAAAAAAAAAGGTAAAAATGATACCACTTTTATTTTCTTAAAAGATATTCTAAATATTAATATTAACATTTTTTATCATAGGTTTAATTTATAAATTTAATTTTTATAAAAATCACTCATAGATTACTTTTTATCGTTACTAGAGTTAAAATTGTTCTTGATATTAACATTATAATTCGTTTGAATCTTATACTAATACTTTATTTTAGCCCCTTCGTACAGAAATTTTACATCTTATTCTCAAGTTTTTACACGTCACATATCGTTTTGTAACTTTTGTTCCACTTAAAAAAAAAAACTTTAAATATTATTACAGCCCCAACTAACAGCAAAAAATAATTCATAACAATTTATTAATATAAACCTATAAAGTCAAGTTGACTGCAAGAAGTTGCATTATCCCTTCTCAAGCCTGTATTCACCAAATAATAAATGTCATTTAAAAATTAATCTTAGTTTTTTAAAAATATAAATTTTACATCAGAGAGTAAAATAAAATAATTTGAATATATATTTTTGTCTCTTTAATTTGAGTTATGTACAATTTTAGTTTCTCAATTATTTTGAGATAATCAAGTGTTTTTAAATTGTATAAATTCAGTTTTATATAATTTTTTTTTTACCTAAAACTAAAAAAATCTACCTTTTTTTTACTCAAAATACTTACAAACTAAATTGATTAAGTGATTTTTTTATTTAAAAGTAAACAAAAAAATTATTAATTTTCATTCAAAATAAAAAATCTAAAATTTCGTCTCTTTAATCTTTAATACACCTTGCGAAATATTTTAAATCTGGTATAATCTTCATTTTTTTACTCTAACAATTTGAAAATTACTTTATGTATTAACTCAATTACAAACCGGTCAAATCTTCTAAAATTTTGAATTAAAAAAAAGCATTTGAAATAAAATAAAATCAACGAGAGACTAAATTTACACAATTTTTGAAATAGAAAAAAATTATTAACTTAACAAATTATAAGAGAGAAAAATTAAACATAATTTAAAATAAAATGACTAAAATTTATTTAGATTATTAAAAATTTATAATTATTAATTGCAAAAATTACATATTAAATATTTAACATCCATATAATTTATCACAGACGTAATTAAAATATAAATGATTAATTTTTAAATATTTTGTTAATCTAAATATATAAAGTTAAAAAATTATAATTTAAATATTATTTATTGTACATTCTTATCTTGAATACAATAAATATTTTATTTTGAAAATTCTAAAAAGAAAAATTGAAAGCAATATTTATTACTCTCACTTTATTGTGAAGAATGAATGAAACAAAAAATGGTTGAAAATTGAGGGTGTTGGTCCCTTATTTGAACAGAGATATGGATAAATAAAAAGAGAAGGTTGATAAAAGTGTATAGCTGAGGTGGAGTGGTACGTGTCGCAAGCTTTTTAAAAATATGAAAATGGAGACAGAGCTATTGGAAAGACGCCAGCTCATGCAACCGTCAAACTCGGACAGTGCCAACAAAGTGCACACAACACAACAAATTTTTTTATTTGAAAACCCAAAACCGCAAAAATATATTATTATTATTATTATTATTATTATTATTATTATTAATTTTCCCTCTCTCTCTCTCTCTCTCTCTCTTCCTCGCTCGTTTCTTTTCTTTTGCTTTCCTTCGTCTTCTGACCTCACCTTCTCTCTCTCTCCTTCATTTCTTCAACAGAGAAAGAGAGAGAGAGAGAGAGTAATGTGATGGGAAGCAATGGACTCTGCAACTTGTTCTCTTGCTTCAAACCATCCAACCAAACCCCTAACCAACACCAACTCATATTCGCAGACGCAGAGCCATTGGACGAAACCCTAGGTCACTCTTTCTGCTACGTTAGATCCTCTGCTCGCTTTCTCTCTCCTACTCATTCCGATCGCTTTCTCTCTCCATCTAACTCCCTCCGCTTCTCTCCCACTCACCGACCGGATTTTCCCGAAACCGCATTCAAGGCCATTTCCGGAGCATCCGTCAGTGCTAACAGTTCTGCTCCCAAAACCGTTCTCCAGTTAGATAACGCTTACGAAGACGCTTCTGCTAGGGGTACTATTGTAAATGGCTTCAAAGCTACCTCGTCGTTTAGTGCTCTTCCGCTTCAGCCAGTGCCTCGAGGAGCTGAGCCCGAGAGGGAGCGGAGGGCTTTCTTCCTCTCTGGTCCAATTGAAAGCGGCGCACTCTCCGGACCACTAGACGATGTCGTCTCCGGTGACGGCGCCGGCGCCGGGGTGCCTTTTTCTGCTCCTCTCGGGGGTGGGATGTATGTGAAGAAGAAGCGGAAGAAGAGTATTGCGGGGTTGCGGAAGGCGTTCCAGCGGAGTCTTTCGGAGAAGAAGCGGCCGTGGGTGGTGCCCGTGTTGAATTTCGTCGGCCGTAAGGAGGTTCCGGCGAGTGAGGGGAAGGCGGAGGAGAAGAGCGAGAGTAATGTGCAGTGGGCGCTGGGGAAGGCGGGGGAGGATCGGGTGCATGTGGTTGTATCGGAAGAGCAGGGTTGGTTGTTCGTGGGGATTTACGACGGTTTCAATGGCCCCGACGCGCCGGAGTTTCTTATGGGTCATCTTTACCGTGCCGTTTACGGCGAGCTGCAGGGACTGTTTTGGGAAGTTGAAGAGGCGCAGGGATCTAACCCTGCACCTGCTGCAGCGGATAATGAAGCTGAACCCAAAAATGAAGGGGAGGTTGAAGAACAAGAGTTGAACTCTCTTGGAGGGTCCGCTAAGAAGGTGACATTTCAAGCAGAGGGAACTGAGAGTAGGCGTAGAAGGTTGTGGGAGTTTCTTGCGGAGGATGATGCAGAAGACGGGCTTGATCTCTCGGGATCAGATAGGTTTGCGTTTTCTGTGAATGATGCACTCAGCGCTAGCAAGGATGGTTCTGCAGGTAGTAGACAGTGGCTGATTTTGTCAAAGTTGAAGCATGGATTGTCGAAGCATAAGGAGGGTCCTGGCAGAAAGTTGTTGCCTTGGAGCTTGGGCATGGGCACGGAGGAGAAGGAGAAGGAGAAGGTTGAGGTGGAGAATCGAGCAGAGCAGAAGGGTCGCGGTGGTGATGGTGGTAGGAAGCGGAGAGTGGGTCCTGTGGATCATGATTTGGTTTTGAAGGCATTGTCCAGGGCGCTTGAGATGACTGAACTGGCGTATTTGGATATGGCGGATAAGCTTATTGATACGAACCCGGAGCTTGCGTTGATGGGGTCATGTTTGTTGGTTGTGTTAATGAGGGATGAGGATGTTTATGTGATGAACGTGGGAGATAGCCGGGCCATTGTGGCGCATTATGAGTGGGAAGAGGAGGTGAACTCGAGTAGCGATGGAGAATCAAGCGTGGAGGTCATAGATGAGGATTCCTTGGCTCTGGGTGAGGGTCCTTCTCGAGTTCGGAGGTTGGTTGCATTGCAGCTGTCCACTGACCACAGCACCAGCATTGAAGAGGCAAGTTTATAATTTGCCCCTTCAGCTACTTCTTTTCTTGTTTATGTCTATGCTTATTGATTCTTCTGCTGATATGCTTTCTACCTATTTAAGCATGGGAGCAATATTTCATGATTAAATAATTGTTAGGCTTCATTGCTCTTTAATTTTTTTGTAATTCCTTTAGTAGCTTTCTGGGATTTAATAATGCTACTTATCTATGTGTGTGCTTTCATTTTATATGTCTATATCTATGCTTGGATCTGCTTGTCTTTGTGTATTTTTCCTACAGCTGTCTGTATCTCCGTCAGGGAGGTCAATGTCTGCGTGTCAGACTTTCATTTAGTGCAGCATTCTGCTTTTATGTCAAGTGGCAAGTAGTTTTGGATTTCGTAGCTCTCATTGACGAGTCATGCGAGTGTTATGTTCAAGAAGTTAGATCTTCACCTTCGTGCTTAATTGCTCTTTCCTTTTCAATATTAGTTCTGTTTCCTTTTCATCAATCGTGTTCTGATCAGTTTGTATCAGTTGTCTGAAATTTGGGGCTTATTGTTTTGCAGGAAGTTATTAGGATTAAGAATGAACATCCTGATGATAGCCAATGTATCGTAAATGATAGAGTGAAAGGCCGTCTTAAGGTTACTAGAGCATTTGGGGCTGGATTTTTGAAACAGGTGCCTTTTTAAATACTTTATTGTAATAATACTTTATTCTTGCTATATACTTCTGATTGTTGTACAAGAGAAGATGAATGGCATTGATATCCATCATTATTGTTAGAAGCACTGTTTGTCATTTTTAGGCACAGCACAATTTATTTATGAAATGTTGATTTTCTAAGATTTTTCTTTGTGTAGAATGATTTAAGGACTGATTTTATGTTAACAAGAAAATCCTTCCAGACATTGAATTAATTATTTTGAATAGCCTGCAGTAATTTTTTTTTGTTTTACCTTTTTCATGTTTGTACTTGGAGAGCCAGTGCATAGCTGTTATGCCTATTGTTATCCATAAGTTTTTGTGATTGGCGATTAGAAGAGTGGTCAGGTCCTTGGTTTTAGAGTATGCCAAATTTCAACTCTGGTCTGGAAGGAAGCGATTCATGTCAACTTACACTTTTAAGCACTGCTGCACATGCACATGCTCATCTGCATTCTGAAAATTGAATTCTGCCTGTTTATTGTGCCTATTGTTCAAGGCTGCATAGACTTTTTAAATATTATATAGAAATGTATGCCTACATTGATGATATGATTTAAAATGTTTCTGCAGCCGAAGTGGAATGATGTGGTACTAGAAATGTTTCGTAATGAATATATCGGCACTGCTCCATATGTATCCTGCTGCCCTTCATTACGTCACCATAGATTATGCCAAAGAGATCGGTTCTTGATCCTCTCATCTGATGGGTTGTATCAATATCTAAGCAATCAAGAAGTGGTTTCTCAAGTTGAGAGTTTCATGAAAAAGTTTCCAGATGGAGATCCTGCCCAGCATTTAATAGAGGAGTTGCTCCTACGTGCAGCCAAAAAGGCTGGTAAACAAGTCTTCTCATTACATGAATCTATCCTATAGCTTTGCGTTCTTGTTGAACATGTACTATTTGTTTCATGACATAATTCGAGGGAATGGCATTTTATTTATTTACTTATGATTGATACCATTCTTATATAATAACTAAATGCTTGATTCTTCCCCTAAGATGTTTGTCCAAAATAGTCGGACATTCAAACTTTTTTTGTTGGTTGATTTGGTGGCATTAACTATATTCTGTGGCTGAACTCAGTTATCACATTTGTGACTATTCCTGTTGATTTTAAGGATATATTTTAATTGAATTTTGATTGAAGAAGCAAGTGATGGATATTTAAGTTGTTAACACAATAACTTGCGCAGGATCTGTTTCAGAAAACTGAAAGAATTGTATTTTATATTTTGTTATATCTTGAGCAGGGAGGTATGTAATAAACAGTTTAATAATTTATCATTTTCTTTTCTTTTCTTTTCAACTGCTGTTCCACATTACATTTGGTCTTGATTTTGGGATCATTTCCCTCCTTTTTTCAATCATATGCGAGTGATGCCATGGAAGCGTTGTGTTGTGTCATTCTTTATTTGGGATGGTACAAAACAATGTTTTTGTCTTCTTAAGTTTCTGGATCACTGCTTTAATTGTTTGTGAGATGCTACTTTATAATTTTCAATTCTGTAGAAGATAACTGACTTCACATTTTCACACTTTTATTCTTTTATGCCTTTATTTTCACTCTTAGGACTCCTCTGGAGGATTATAGTGTCTATATGCACTGGTTTGGTTGGTTCCTGTAGAGAAACTTGTTTCTGAAATGATATGTTTGATGCTAGTGGCTGTTTGCACTTTATAACCTAAGCCTGGGTGGGATTAAGGTAATGCAGAAAAATACGATAGAAACATGAAAATAATTGTGCAATATTTGAATTAATGTGTTTCTCAAACCTTGAACTTATCAAATACTATGTTTATGCAACCAGCATTTAGAGTGGTGATTTTGGACTCTAATGTTGCAGGAATGGATTTACATGAATTGCTGGATATCCCTCAAGGAGATCGGAGGAAGTACCATGATGATGTTACTGTTATGGTGATATCACTTGAAGGAAGAATTTGGAAATCGTCAGGGAAGTATCTGTGAGGCCTTGCTAACTCATGTTTACTATTCAGGTGATCATATTATTTCACCAAAGGGTGCCTCGAAGCCAATGACAAAATTTCACAGTTGATCCATTTTTCGTGGGTCATCTTAGATGATCATTCTGGTCTCTTACAACATAAGCTTTTGAATAGAAGAATCTCACATGTTAATGGCAAGAGGCCACTGGTAGTGCTCTATTCAGAATTGGGAGATGCAAATGCAATTTGAAATGAACTTGAGAATGGACACTGCTAATGGATTTTTGGGAAGTCTCTTTGGAAGACAAAACAATGTAAAGCCGTTTTAAACTGTTCTCTTTTAGTTCCAGTATCTGTCTATCTCTGTTCCCAAATATTGTCCCAATTTATAGAGATGAAAAATGATAGAAATTTTGAGTAGCAGAGGTTCTTTCCATTCTCTTTTTTGTTTTTGCTCCTTTTCTTTCTCTGGCTGGAGCCAAGAGAATGTGGGTGTATATTGGTGGGGATACAGATGTACTGACTGAACTTAGAGCAGTCACTAGTCACAGAACAAATGTAATTGAGGGTGGATTTCTACCATTGCGGATTAGCATGATTCTGAATTAGAGATCTCAATCCGATCATTGCATCTATATTTATCTATCTATATAGACATTGATTGCCGCTATTTATTACTGAATACATTTACAACAAAATTTATGATTATTAAACTTTAGATTATTTATAATATATTTATAACAAAAATTATAATTATTAAGATTTAAAATATTTAGATTTATTTATATGGTTAATGATATGGATGGTCAAAACAAATGTAAGTAAAGTTAGGAACGAAAATAACATATTGACTATAAATTATATTTAATAATTATTTATTGAAATTAATTATAATATTTTGCATAACTTATGAACTAAAATTATTATTAACTAATAATTATTATCTTTAAATTATATTTAAAGAAATTCTATTAGAATTGATTTTATATAAATATTTTATATGGATAGTTATACACTTTTAAAAAAGATAATAATAAATTTGCTATAAGTGATATTTAATAAAAATTATTTAAATTTATTAAATATTAAAAATAAAATAAAATTTATTGTGAAATGTTAAAAAAAGGAAAGAAATATTAATAAATTACAAAAAAAAATTTCATAAAAATCAAATGAAGTTATCAAGTGATATGTTTTTTTTTTTCTCTAAATACTCAATTGATATGTTAATAGAAAATGAAATTGTATCTTATTTTTAAATTTAAATGTATTGATTTAAATAATAATTTTATATTGTATATTATTAAATTATTAAATTATATTTATGACAAAAAGACAAATAAATTATCATACAAATAAGTTTTTTTTTTATTATACACAACTTTTGAACTTTTTAAAAGTTCTTTTTATCATTCTACTTTATTTCTGTATTTTATCATTATGTCAACGTTAAAAGTTTTTTATCTAATTAGACATATATATATATATATTTTGTTAATATTGATATTTTTTAATTTTTTATTAAATTATATTCATATATTTTATTTTAATTTATTGAGTACGCATAAAATTACATTATTTTTAAGTGATATCATGTATTAAATTTTATTTTTAATCAATTAAATTATATCAAATTCATCAATATTTCTTTAACTAAATTAATCTACAATAGTATAAATTTATATTATTTGAAATTATATCAGAGTTGATATATCGTATATGTCATATTTTAAATTTATAAATAAAAATATTTATAAAAAAATATAAAAAATAATAAAATCTTATGTTATAAGTATATTTTTTAAAGAAATTTTAAACATACTAATAATAAATAAAATATAATATTGTTAAATTTTAATTATCTTTATAGCACTCAAAATATTTTTTATAATTAAATTTAATTAAAATATATAAATCAATTTATGTAAAATTGACTACACCTACTTATTACTATATACATTTACAACAAAACTTATATTTATTAAACTTTAAAATACTCAAAGTCACGTAAAATATTGGTAATACGAATGATTAGCGTGGATAATTAGACATATTAAAAATAAAACAACAAAAATTTATTCAAAACTTTAAAATACTTAAAATCACATATATTATCAAAATTGATGTTGGTGTATATTAAAAATAAAAATAATAAATTAACTATAAATTATATTTAATAAAAAATTATTAAAATTAATTACAATATTTTACATATCTTAAGAATTTAAATTATAATTGATTCATAATTATTATATTTGAATTATATTTAAGAAAAATTTATTAAAATTAATTATATATAAAAAATTTACATTGATAGTTATACAATGTTAGGAATAAAAATAATATATTACTATAATATATAAATTTGTTATTAAAATCTTACTGTAATTGTTGGATTTGTATATTTAATATTTTTATATTATAATAAATAAATAAATAAATATATTATTGTATTTCAAATATAAATTAAGTTTGAATGTTATATTTACTTTTTATATAAATTTGTTTTAACAGTGAATCAGAACTCTTGTACTTTTTAATATTTTTTTATATTTTAAATATTTCTTTTATAATTATGAAAAAAATCTACAATCAAATAAAGACATGAATTAATTTATAAAATATTATGAAAATATTTTTTTAATATTTTTAATATTAAAATTTTAAACTATATTTATTTATTAATATTTTATATTCTAATTATGTGATTATTGAAATTTTTTTGAGATTAAAATTAAATTTTTAATGCTTTTAAATTTTTTTTGGAGTATTTAATAAAGTAATGGAGTTACAATTCATTCTCCAATTATAAACTAAATTATACGTAAAATATAAAATATAATAAATATTTTTTTATTGATATAATTATTTACGATATTATATTTTTAAAATTAATACTAACTTTTAAAATTAAAAAATATTTTAAATTAAAATAATTAGTCATTAGTATATATTTACTTATTATAAGTTAAATTTAAATATGTTATTTTAAAATCATAAAATAATAATTTTATGTATAATTTATCAAATGAATTTATGTTAATATTTATTTTAATTCTTAAAAAATAAAAATTAAACTTTTAAAAAATATTAAATAAATTTGTATAATATACAAATATATTTTAAGAGAGCACAGGGCTGTGATGGTGATGAGACGAAAAAATTGGGTTAGAGATCCACCTCTGCGAGGTGGGTAGCCTTAACCGGATGTGTTAGCAAGAAAGCCCGAAGGCTGTTCCCGTCCCTGTCAGGGGAGATGCCAACCATCTCTCCTTTTTACGAACACAACTATGTGGGAGCAAGTTTGATTTATAGAGTGTAAATGGCTTTGATTAATGTCCGGTGTGGGACTTCGTCACAACAATTACTCAACCTACATCTCCTTATAATGGCTTCATTCAAGGGCATACATAGATGTTTGCTACTGTTAATTATGAACAGAAAATCTCTGCGCGTATCATATACTCACATTTATTGTTAATAATACAGAAACAAGAATATGCGTGGGTCTATTTTCATAGCTACGGATGTAAGCAAAGACAAGAGCCAGGGCATGGGTAGCTAGCTGAATGCAATCAGTGTTATAAGAAACGTGGTAGCAGGACCCTCTTTGCAAATTGGATAAATCAGATTCAACACCCACATTTTGGGCACGCTGGTAGATTAGATACTGAATAACACAGAGAAGGGACTTCAGGTAACCAAAATGTATAAGGATTCTAATTCCTGCGAACAGGTAATGATTTTTCACTACACAAACACAAATGCATTTTTCACATTTTCAAAAAATACTACTAGAAATCAATCGTACACGGGGAAGCATGAACGCAGCAATTGCAATGTTTATCAATTACACAGTACAATAGTACACAGCTTCATTCTTGTCGAAGCAATGAGTTGGGAAAAATAATTTTATTTGGATTTCAACTCACAATTTTACCAGGAAATTTAAAATGTTTTACATTTAGCGCACACCTACAATGCTTATGAATTAGAAGATGGATCCAACAAATTTTTAATCTGACTTCGTACTCTGTCTCTAATAGAAGAATGAGGAAACTTTTCTATCACCTCCCCTCCAAAAGAAAAAATTAGAAGTCTTCTAGCACTCTTTAAGTCAATGCCGCGTGCTTGGAAATACAAGAGTTGGCTTTCTTCCAGGTCACTTATTGCCGCTCCATGGGAGCACTTGACGTCATCAGCCACGATTTGGAGATTTGGTTTAACATTTACCGTTGCTCGGGGTTCAAGTAGAAGGCTTCTTGTTAACTGTCCTGCATCTGTCTGCTGAGCATACCTACACCAGAAATAGTATATCATCATACAGAGTGCCTTATCTTATAAAATACAAGATATTTGAAAACAAATGCACCTGTTTCAGCTCAATAAATTATTGAAAACATCTTACTATATCACTTTTTGGGTTAATAAGCTAGTAGAGTTGTTTGGTAAAAATAAAAAAGAAAGCTTATAATATTTGAAAGTTAGCTTACGAAAAACTCCCTCAAGTAACATTCAATAATTTATTGGAAGCTAACTTGTAATTCTTTTTTATCCTTGACCTTTTAAACAATTTATAGATACACAAAACAGCCTTAACACTTTTTGTAGACATTTAACACATTTCATTTGTATAACTAGATTTACCAAACAGTTCTAATTCAATTAGTTAGTTATAAACTTTCAGCTAGCTTATCAACTATATGGTACAAGCTATAAACTTTCAACTAATTCTACCAAACATGGCCTTAATCTCCTTAGATTATCTCGTGGGGATTGCATTCCACAATGCGCATACCAAACATAACAGCTCATTCCCATATTGCACCACAGGAGTCAAGACTAAAAGGGGATTATCTAGCCATCTTTGCCGAATAAAATTATATTATTGCATAAATGAAGTAATTGTCATTTAAGTATAGTTAAAAAATAAAAAACACAATTACCTGTTAACCTTAATGTTTCCGTCAAAAACAGCTTGTCCCAAAGGGTGAGCGACAATACACTTGTGCAGTTGCCGGGAATAGCCCCGTGGATGGTCCAAAACAAGGCTACTATGGAGATCCTGTGTTTGATGACCAACACACAAGTGTAAAGTGGATAATTCAGTGATGGTGTCAGGACCCAGTTGTTGTATATGAAGATTGTGCCTGCCCACTTTTCCTCCAGTGCTTACCTCAGTAAGTTCATACTTACTAGATGACTCCTGCAAACAATCAACAAAGAATCACAATCTTATCCGAATTGCTTCCATTAAAGGGAAGGGATGAAGGGGAAACACTTAATGGACCTGGCGAACGGAGGTCCATTTTATATGGGCCGCAGCGAATGATTGGGTCTGAATATAAGAGTGTCTAAGCTTTGCTCCTTCTCCAATTACTGCTTCCAAAGCACCGTTGCTCCAATAACACTCTCTCTCTTTTCCTTGCGGGCTTGAAAATTCCTCAATTACATCCACCTCTGCTCCCTTCTCCACCACCACAAGAACCCTAGGATTGGAAACCGGCATCGTGTCGGAACCCTCGCCACTAACTTCACCCGGAAAGTACCCCAAGTGGACGGGGTTTTCCACGTGGCACCCCTCGGGGACGTACACGACGGTCAAATCGGGAGCGGCGATGCCGTTGATGGACCAGAACAAGTCACCGGCGTGGAAGCTGCAGAGCAATTCGGAGAGCCTTTGGATGAGAGGAGTGGAAGAGAGGTCGGAGAGGGTTCCGACGTAGACTCCTTCCGGGAATTGGGAGGTGAGGATGGAAATGGGGTGGGAGACGGGGAGGATTCGGGATTGGCGAATGAAGGAAAGGTCGGTGAAGCGAAAGGGTTCGTCTTTGCGCGATGGCCATGGAGTTGAGAGAAGGGATTCGGAGGAGGCGTTACGAAGCTTCTGGAGAGGGAGTGGGGTTGAAGCAGAGGAGGGGACAGAGTCTTCGAGGGTTTCCGCGAGTTCTAGAACGAAGGGGTCAGAGGTGAAGGCCTGCACTGACACTGAGACTCTGGTTTTGGGTTTGTGAGATTTGAAGGAAGAAGATGAAGAAGAAGAAGAAGAAGAAGAAGAAGAAGGGATTGTTATTGGATTGTACACTGCGGGGGTTAAGGCTATTCCAGTCATTCTCAGGTATGCTAATCCTACCCTGTTTCATCGACTCTATGCTATTAGATTTCTCTTTTTATTTTTTACTCACTTCTTTTTGGGCTTATATCTGCTCTTTTGTTTTCTTGGCCCAGTTGTCTTGTGCGTTGGGTCTCCAGAGGCCCATGTTTAAAGAGGAGCCCTAAAAGAAGAAGGAAAATTTGAGTGAAAACCCCCTCTCCTCCTTGATATCCAAAGTAGTTATCATATAAATGTGGTACATAATACTAACAGGCATGCTAAAACAGTAACGTGAAAAAAAGGTAATGAATTCCACCTTAAAATAATAATAAAGTAAGACCTAGTGTGGATGATTAGAGAGTTGTCTGAATAATGTTTGCTTCCAAGTCGCGAAATGCCAAAAGCTCATCTCCAGGTTTGCATGGCGGCTGATGGAGAAAATTAAAGCATCAATCTCAGAAAATATTAAAATGTTAGATAAATAAAATCTTAATGTCGTTTTAATATGAATTAATTCATTTTAATATTTTTTATATACAAGTAATAAGGAATTCAATTATGGTCGCTTGATTCAAACTTACGATTAAAAGCAGAAGATAAAATATTAGAAAAATTTTGAAGCTAGGACATTGATCGAGGTAGGTTTAGACAATGAGCAAATCGTCAAGGTTGAGAGAGGGGGGCAATGTTTAGCGTATTATTACCAGTGGTAGCTTGTTCAAAAAAGTGATAATTTAAGTTTGACCCACATGTTTGGTTCAATGCCCACATAATAACATAATCACATTATTACATTGGATCCGGGGTTTAAGTGTCAAGCAAATCAACGTAATCTAATCCAAATCTCACGCTTTTCTGCACTGAGAGCTCCTAAGCTTATCGCCTATAGCCACCGCAGTTTATGAGAAAAAAAGGTAACCCCATCCCATCCCGACAACCTGTCTGCTCGCCTACAATTGCTTAGATTCTTGTACTTGATTGCTGACGTCCCATGAATCTATGTCGGAAACCTGTCGCCCACCCCTTAATGTGTTTCACGCTTCAAATTAAAGGTTTCCTAATGTTAATGTGTAGAGGTTCATAATCTTGTAAACTGAATAAAAGAAGACAAATTATACGAGCATATTAAAACTGTACCATTTTTTAATAATTAAGAGAGAGAGAATATGACATAAGATAATTTGTGATAAAAAAATAAAAAATAAAACTAATAAAGAAAAAGAAGCTAGTGAACAAAAAGCATTTGAGTGCGTGCTGAGTGCTGTGCTGCTTACGATATACTACAATCTACAGTGTGAGGAACGAGGTGCCACTGATAAGGTTGGTAGAACAGATTACTCTTTTGGTCTTTTCTGCTTTTTGGACAAACAGTATATGAATTACATACATGGCTTATGGACGCGGCGTTGCTTAAGCCTTCCTTTTGACCATTAGAGTATTTATTTGATTTTCTCTAATTTGCTTCCGAGTTTCCTGTTACACTCACCCACTAATGTTGGAAAGTGACTTGTCACCTCTCTCTCACCCCTTTCACCATCACCGCCAATGAATTTGTATATTTTAGACGCTTAAATAAATAACTGTAACCAATAATTAACGTCTTCAGGTTGATTCTTCCTCTAATGCTGTCGATAAAAGAGATGACTTCCATTAACGTATCCTCCGCAGTTGTCAATTGAGTTACCTTGACAAATGCTTTACGCGAAACTTTTGGGCATTAAGAATGATCATGGTTGTTTTTAGAAGCAAAAATTTATGTAAGATAAATTTATTTTGCACGAAATACACGACGGTGATAGTTGATTTTTCTTACATGGGGATGATATACAAGAGTAGTTATAGAATAAGAAATTGTTATTCAATTAGAAAAAGACAAGACAGTAAATACGGGTTTCTCTTCAATAACTTAAGACGGGTCAATAAAAGAAGTAAAAAAAATTGCGGTTGATTACTAAAATCTTAAAAATTGAATGTAATAAAGAACGGTACTTTACATTATTACAAATCCAATATTTATCTGAAGTCAAAACCCATCTTGCACAAAGCTGACTCATTACAATCTCTGGAGAGCGCAGGGCTACAGGCAGAGGAGTGTAGTTGAAAGGGGGCTTATGTAAACTGCAGAGTCAAGAGACAGAGAGACCGAAAGGAGCAGACAAACAGCGACAAGGATAAGGTTAATTGTCCTTGTATTTTCCACTTCCCCATGAAACCCTCGTTAACTTCTCCAATTATTTTTGCCAGCAGTCAGAGCACATGAGCACCTTTGCTTTTCCAATTCTCATTTCACAACCATTTTCAGCAATGTCAATATGAATACATAATCTGTGGAAATGTGGAGATATGCTGCATATGTAAAGCAATTCACGTTTTTATTATTACTAATATCAATCAATATTATTCCTCCCTCTTTCTTACTTTATTTTTTCACTAAAACTATCGGCGCATAATGTTTAAAAACAAAACTTCTTTACAACATCTTTTGATTGAAGTGGCAAGCTATCTCTATAGATTACGTAATTACTGCCACTTAGAGTTTAGCAAAGAGTTGACTTAGTTATGCCTCGCACTAACGTCATCTCAACCCCAAGTTCTTCATTTCCTTTAGCCATCTCAGGACTGCAGTTGCCAGGTCTTTCCATTCGATATCGTTAATATATATATATATATATATAATTACAAAATATCTTTAATAATTACAATGATATAGTTTAAAAGATAAGGATAAGATCTTGCAAAGTGAGGATTAAAGTTGGGGCAAATGGGGTATGACGCTTGTGGCAAAAACTTAGTGATATAGTAATCTATTTATAACATAGATAAGCAATTTGCCTTAGATGGACTACCTTTCTTTTAGTTTTTATAGTTTGTTTCCTCCTATTCCCAATGTGAACGCAAAATTCCAATGGTTTAATAAACTGACCACATCAAACCTAAATAGACACTAGGCTCACTTTTGGCAAAAGGAACGGTTAATTATTGTATTAAATTTTCCTTTTCCACTTGTAGAAAAGTGGCAGTGACACCCTCTCTGATTGCTGCTTTGTCTAATTTAACTTCTCAGCCACATAAGCGAGGGAAAATGAAAATATATAAACCAATGTTTATAAGATACTTAGAACTTAGGATGCCCCAATAAAAATGAGAAAATAATTTGTAATTTTCCGCTGGGTGGCTGGGTCGTTCTGCTTTCTACTATACAGTTGAAAAAGCAAATGCTTTTGTTCTTTCTTTGCTAATAAATGTAAAAAGCTAGTGCTTCATTACAGTTGGCCTATGTTCGATGTTATAGTCAAGGACGACTAAACATGATTTGTCACTTCAATGAGAAATTTAGTTTTAAAACTTTTCTTTTTCTTCAAACAGTTTTAGCTAGCTATTGATCATTCAATTGCAGGAATAGTGATAGGGAGTGGGCGCTGGATTTTAGGACTCAAAAGATTGATAGCTATTTCTTTGCATGGTTAAGGGGAAAATGACACAAATATTCTCAATCTCGCCCATCTTAATTACATAAAAGAAAGCTCTTTCTTTACATTTTCCCTTCCTCAAATTGAACATTACCACCCAAAACACTCATTATCTTTTCCAAAATTCCAAAAATGAGTAGTTGTTAGATTCATGATGAAGGTGGTAAAAATATATCTCGTAAAGCTAAGAGTAAACTAACACAATCAGGTGTTAAAGCAAGCTTTAATTTCACCTTTTGCTCATACATATGCAATATATTCCATTAATTGCCCAGTATTTACTTACCAACCATCCTTGGTTGGTCCCACTAACTAGAGTTTAGACAGAGCTTGATTGCTTAAAGATCTCCATGTGAATTCTTAAGAAGAAACGAACCTCTGAAAGTTAAAAAACTAATTAAACACTTTTCGAGATTTTCCTTTTGCAAAAGAATGGACCCGCTTGATGACACAATCACCTGAATTAAAAAAAAGATAAAGTGTTCAATCTGACTCAGGATGACATGGAATAAACTTGAGGGTTAACTTGCAGAGTCAAGGAATCCCATATTCCTCAATTAATGGTTCTCCTTCCTCTCACAGTGTTTACAATTGAGGGAAATTTTCAGTTGTTGTGTGAACAAACTTGCTTTGTAGTATATGTTCCTTTTCATCATAAAATAAAAAATGTAACAAAAGTGGGCGATAGTGATAATTCACATAAATTATGTACTACATATTCAATGGACAAGAAAAATACTTTGCTATCATAGCACTAAGCACTGGAATTTCTCAGTAATTAACACTAATGCTTTAAGAATGACGAATATTGCAGTATTGGTGCTGGGTTGGTAACGTATATGGAGCCATCATGACAGCCCCAACTTGAGAGCTTTGTTGGAAAACACGACACGGGCGTGTGATCCAAGGCGCATAAGTTTCACATTGGAAAGATTTGAAGAGAAAAATATTTTTTAAACTTGAATTGACCACACTTAGATCACTTCGTGGAACCAACTAGCTGAAATAATTTCATTGCTTGAGTATTCAATAATTCATATTATACGTATTACTTTATCAAATTATTTTTATTACTTATTTTTTTGTATATACGTAACTTTAAAATACTCCCAAATTAAAGGAAATAACTTTTACATATTGTTTAAATGTGTAAAAATACAGAAAAAAAAAAAAGAAATTGAGCATCGGGGATAAGATGAAAATTCCAAACATTTATTACTTTAGAAAAAAACAAAACAATAATTTTCTTTTACACAAAAACAGTACCTTTGGCTAAAATATAGAGTTCCGTTTGGGAAATAAAGTGGCTCCATGACTTTACCAATCACACATTCCTCAACTTTGAGTACATTACTATTCTTCATATCGTATTTACTCATATCCATATTTGGTGTAGTTGAAAAAGTTTCAATTGGGAAAATTAGATGCACGAACTAGTCCTATTACATTTGATTTATATAAATACAGAGGAACAGTCTTGTATTTGACTGCACCAACTGCCAACAAATTGAAAGTAGGACTGATATTTACACTTAGCTTGACAAAAAATAATTTCAGGTGACTAAAGATAATGCGACTACTGTTTTTATTTTATCTATTTTTCGCTGATTGATCGTATCTCAAAGCATACCAATTATGCAAAATAAATATACCAAGGTAAGATAATCTATTGCACGTTTCTTTGTCAAGTGAAAAAGAGAAGAATGACAGTTCTCTTACCAAAAAAGTTGTCTTTTTCTATCTAATAATACAATTCAACGACAAACATAATATCATCCAAATCTTGGCAAATACCAGCAAGAAACAAAAACAGGAGAGGGAGAGTGGAAAATGGTAGCAAGAGAAGATTTGAAATAAAGGGAGAATAATTTCGTACTTGCAACATCTGTATTAGGTTTGGACGGGTCATGGGTCAATACGAACTCAAGTTGGTTTGAAAATTGAAATGCACTTTGATGAAATAGAGGTACACTGAATGCTTTTGGCAAAAAATTAATGGCACCCAAATTATCATTGAGTTGTTTAATCCATCGTTCAACTCAGATGCGGAGGAAGTATCTCTCGTCCTGAAAAGAACAAGAAAAAGTGATTATTTCAACATCATAAAATTAATTAATATTGTATATAATTTTTTTTTTCATCTTTAATTGATATTTTGATCTTTTTTATACATGTATATCACAAACTCAAAATCAAAGTGGATAGCTTTTTGCTGTTCTATATTTTGATGTTGGAGAAACCATTTTTGGAGGAAAAGTGCACATGAAAGGCATCAAATACCGCGGGAAGTTGATTTGAACTTTCTTGGGTGTGAACACTGAAAGGTTTTGAAGTGGTGGGCCATTTGCTTTGGAATTTTGGGTGCACTAAGGACAAGTAATCTCAAACTTTCGGTGTGTACAATTTTGGACTGTGGGTTCTCTTCCCCGAATGCTATATATACCACACCATTAGTGGCCTCTTCTTTTACTCTACTCTCTTTTCTCTTCTTCATCTCTCACTCATCCATCACCACTTTCTCTTTCTTTTTCTGGCTCTCTCCCAACATAGCAACTAGCCCATTATTCAATTTGGTTTATTTTAACTTCTACACTTCGAAAAGTTTCCACTTTTGAAAATCGTTTTCAGAACTCTACCCATTTTTCTTGGAGTCAAAAGTTGGTAGTTGAGTTACATAGTTATTCCTAATTCCTTCGTTTCCTTCATTCTTTTGTGTTCCAGGGATTAAATATTGGGGTTAAGGGGTGGGGGGGTGATTAGCTTCATTGAAGACCTCAAAGTTTTCTTTAAGACGATGGTTCTGGCACATAACGGGTACACTCTGTTGAAGTGTCACCTTACTCTAGATAAAAAATATATTGTTGACAAAAGCTTCTATTTTTGGATCTTTCAGGTTTTTAATAGGTATAGTCTCGGTACATAACAAAAGTACTCAAGAGTTTGGCTTTGTTGGAGGAAATTTTGAATTTATTGTCGTTGTGTTAATCTGAGACTGGAAGAGACAAGAGTTGTCTACTCTATATAGCCTTGTTTCTCAGTGTCACTTTATTTTTAAAATATATATATAGTAAGGAACATAGAAATTTAGAATGGGAGGGGCATCACTGCCTCCAGGTTTTCGTTTCCATCCAACTGATGAAGAACTATTAGGATATTACCTAAAAAGAAAAGTGGAGGGTCTTGAAATTGAGCTTGAAGTTATCCCCGTGATTGAATTGTACAAATTTGATCCCTGGGAGTTGCCGGGTAATCTCCAATTTCACATGATGATCATTTGCATGGTTGAACCATAACATGTGTATCACAGTGACAGTACAAACAGAAAAATCAATAAATTTTCATGCTAGTGTGAACTGAGACTTTATGAATGATAAAAAGTAGAAAGCAGCGTTTTGTTCCATTCGTTTACTTTTAGTATTCTTTGGTGATTAACTATTCCGCTGTAAAATCTGGTTCAATGGGATGATTTCTTTAGTCAAGGTTGGAAAAAGCAATGATTATTTTATAAGTGACATTATTGTTTCTGGTAAGGAACATTGAGAAGGCTAACTTGTGAGGTGTGGAATGCAGAGAAATCTTTCCTACCAAAAAGAGATTTGGAATGGTTTTTCTTCTGTCCAAGGGATCGCAAGTACCCAAATGGATCACGGACTAATAGAGCTACCAAAGCTGGTTATTGGAAGGCCACCGGTAAAGACAGAAAGGTTGTATGCCAATCAAGTTCACCCACATCCACTGTGACTGGGTACCGTAAGACCCTTGTTTTCTATCGTGGAAGGGCCCCTTTAGGAGATCGAACGGATTGGGTTATGCATGAGTATCGCCTCTGTGATGATCTTGGACAAGGTTCCCAGGTACAAAGTTTTTGCTTTAGTTACTTTCATGTTAATGTGTTGCTTCACTAGCTTTGGATTGGCCTTACAGTTTATGTCCTTGTGGTTAATGTTGTAGGGTGCTTTTGCTTTGTGCCGAGTTATTAAAAAGAATGAGAAGGCCAACAATGATTCCTTGGGAGAACAGAAGGGTAAAAGCAAAGGTGGGAGCATTTCCATCAATGGGAATGACACCTCATTGAGAATCTCGAATGTCTCTGGTGACATTTCTTCTCAGGCAGGTCAACTTTGCTGTGAGAGTCGTTATTCTAGTCCTATTGATTCTCCATGCAATGTGGCTCCAGTGGCTGGATTTGAGCAAGCTTCAATGGACAATAATTCTTCAAGCATCTGGGTGTCCCCTGATATGATTCTTGATTCTTCAAAGGTTTGTAGGAATGAAGAAGGAAACTTGAGATTGAATAGGTAGATATTGAAGATTTTTTGACATTTTTCTTGTTCAATTGCAGGACTACTCTCAAATACAAGATGTGGTTGGATTCTTTCCACAGTATGAGTTACTGAGTTCAATGACTCCGTGGCAATCATTTGAACATACAGAAATTTCACCTAGTTCATCCTACTCAAATTTTAATGGGGAAATTGAATTTTCTGATGATCTCAGTCGAATTGGCTGCATGTCACCTTACTCAGGACAAGGAAATTTCATGGACTATTATGGGAATGAACATGTGTCTTACGAATGTTATGACCAAATTAATTCAATGAGTGACCCAAAACTATTCTGAAAAGGAAGAACATTCTCCTCCTTTTAGTAATGCCTGATGTTTGAGTTGGGATCAAGCTCCAATTTCCAAGCAAACAAATGATGATGGGAGTTTAGGGAAGCATAGTACTATATGGTTGCAGCAAAACAATTTGTGATGTGAGGGGCTAGAAGGGATTTCTAAGACAACGCCTTTTAATGTACGTCTTGGAGTGATAAATAATGAGTACAATCCTCTTCTTATGGACTAAGCAGAAACTTTTCTCTACTTGAAGTGAGTATGTTTATCATTTATGCTTGTTTATGTAGAACGCCCGGGTGATATCACTTTTTTGGATTTCACCGAGTTGGTTTAAATTCAGTCATTGTATGTGTGGCTTTATAGAATGAGCTTACATAATGGAGGAGGTTTATGTTTGTTGTACCCCCTTACCTTCCATGTCCATGTTCCTCTTACAGAGCTTCCGTAAGTTATTTTCACAAGAACTTTCCTGGGATATTACCTGACATATGTGCAAAAGCATGTCTATCTCTATTTCATATATATATATATATATATATATAAGATACTATACTTATTACTTAACTAGGCTTTATTTTTATCAAATGCTTTGTGGCGCCATGAACTAGTGTTGGATATTGAAGCATGAATTCTATTGGTCATGTTGTTTTATGTCAAATTTCCGTTGAAGTAAGATTGCAGTTCCAAGATGCTAGTTTATTCTCTCTCCACAAGAAAAAAAGCGGTATAGTAGGTTAAAGATTAAACTAGCAACTTGATTATGTATGTGAACAAACTAAACTCCTGTTTCTACTTTCAGTTACAAGAGCCACCATTTACCTTTATCATTGCAGAATTTTCTTTAAAAATAAAGCTAAGAATGATTTTTACTTTTAGAGTTGATAAGACACTCCAACAGGCAATTGCTTCGAGAATCATCTAACAAACTGTTGAAATACACGTGAGAGTCATACATTGAACAAAACATAGATCAAGTTCCTTATATTTTTGTCATTAAATTCTTAAATCGAAGGATCACATTTGGAATATTTTTAATATTAAATAGAACAAGTTTGTTTTCAGAACGTAAAAGACATGGATATAAGAAACTTTGTCTTTGTCTAAGTTTTGTCCTTCCTCAAATGCATCATCTTAAAAAATATTTCCAGGAATTTTCACCCAGTTCATTCTCCAAGGTGGGCAGGCTTCCAATAATTGCATAATGAAGAGCACCGTCTTGTCACAGTCTGGGAAATGAAACTTAGTGAGTTAGCAACATATTTTCAAATGAAAATTTTTTTGGGGTATTCATGTGAAAACAAACTGCTGCCTCACTGCTTAACATTTATAAAGAAAAAAGGCAAGGCTAAAGTGCTGGCTAACAAAAAGCCAAAAGTAAAAAAGAGGAAAATGGAGATTGTCATTAGATACCTAGTAAAGATTGCTTTTACCTAGTATCTCCATAGATATAGCTGTGAAACTAACTCTTAGGTGAAAACAGTAACAATTGCATTATTTGAACCTTTAGTGTCTCATGGTTGTTTAAGATCACAATCAACTTTCACTGTGACAAAGTACTATCAAATAGCACTGTCAAATAGCCAGTACAGAATCCAAAAACTGCACAAATTAGATGATACTGCTCAAAATGAGAAATTGTGTTGATCACTTTAGATCAATATCATCTACTTGATTGTTTCATTGTTTACACTTTGGATCCTTCTTAGTTTGAAATTTAAAAGTAAATCTTATGCTTTTACTTGTTGACCCTTGTTAACTAAATGTGTAATTACCCATTAATCTATTACACTAGAGCCTCACCATTCAGGGAAAAAGGGAGGAGGGGGGGGGGGGGGGGGAGGTGAGGGAGAGAGTCAAATGAGATTTTCTTAACTCACCAAATAAAAAAACCTCGTTAGTAGTAGACAATCCCAACCACACATGCATTGATGTAGAATTCTACCTCATCCTACACACTTTTTCAGAATAGTTGATTAGTTTAACATTTTACAATAATCTGAAGACAACAAGAGGACAGAGATTCTGAATTTAAACATGCTTAACTAAGTAGCTCACATGGACATGGTACGTGAGTGAGAGCATGGATAGGATATCCATGTTTGTTGTGGTTTCTATTCACTCATTATCCATATTTTGAGAACGTAACTTGGAAATGGCAAAATCGAATATCATAGGCAGAGTAATACTCATGAGTGCCATATGAAGCTGCACAATGATTAGGCCACAAGTTCAGCTGCTACCAAAAAAAGAAAACTTGGGAAATTTGCAAATTGTTCCCCCCTCGTTCTTCTCCATCTTATCAAGAATCTCTTTAAAGAAGGCTCACCAATGTATGACTTTTAGGAACTCTTTCTTAAAGTACTAAATTCCAAAACTCTTATAAATGCAAAACTATCCTTTATTTACTATACAACCTTAGAAGTTAGCACCTACTACCCAGCAACTCAGTGGTCCAGTCTAAAATATATATATGGATTTTTCCTCATTAAGCAATTGCTTTTACGTGGTTGTGGAAGAAGAATTCCTTCAAGCATTATGCTCCACTTGCGGAGTTGAAAACGAAATGAGTGAAAATCATCCTCAACGAAAGTTAAAATATAGACACTGGTAGTGGTATTTTATATTTCTTGGTGAATCTTTCTAGTGGAAGATGAGAAAATGACTTAAATAATCTTGGTTATTTATGCACAAAATATTAGACAAAGACAGCAGTCATAAAAGTCAAAAGGGTAGTATTCCTTGTCCCTTATGCAGTTCTAGTATAAGCTTGCAATTTAGGACTTGAAAAAATATATATTTCTTCCATAGTAAACTGGACTCATCACCAGAAAGAGACACTAACCCATCATCGTAAGGCAATCCAAATATAGATTTTGCTTGCTGTAAGTCACAAAATTGTGGGGCCCTAGCAGCATATTAGAGAACAAGCCGCGAAGGATGTTCTATAATCAATAGGGGTATTGCATAAAGACATCTATGTTCCCATAGTTGAGTCCATCAACAGTCTTAACATTGAATGTATCTATGCATTTTATAACCTGAAATATATGATCATCCTAAGAGTTATTCCAACTAACAGTAGATCAAAAGTTCAAAACATAATTATATTTAATATTCATCATCATCATTCGTCAAATAACAGATTATCCATATCCATGAAATAATGCACTATCTAAGGACTCTCTCTCTGTCTGTTAATTAGTCCACTGCTCCAAGGAAAGGTAAATGGTTCTGTAACACATCAACTCGGGGCTCCTCGCAAGTCACAACAATCTCATCATCAGGTCTGAACTCTTTAAAGCATGCCAATCTCCCAAGTTCTTCAACTTCCTCAATGACAAGGTCCAGTTTGGCTACAGTTTCCACAAGCAAAGATGCAAAAGCAGCAAAAGGAAGAGCCTCAGAGAACTCAAGACTAGTGATTGCAATTTTGCTCAACTGTGGCCTTAAAGACTTGCGTTCTGTTTCTTTTGACTGTTCAGTGGAAGTCCTTTTGGTTTTCCATTCAAGCAATGCTGAAGAGTCAGTTTTAACTGTTGAAAGGGATGATTTTGCATGTCTTTCTTGGCCAACTTGTTGTGCAGCTATTTTGAGCATGTTGGTGGCTTGGTTGTGCTTGTGTTTGAGGCCTAAGAAGAGGCGAGGTTGAGATTTGATGGCAGTGTTGAGGTCCTGAAGGGCTTCATGAAGATGGTCAGAGAGTATTTCTGGAGAGCAATGGCGGCGATTCCTTATGCTGTTTGAAAGTTCTATCAGTACTTTGGACACCTCTGCTGCAAGCCTGATGCAGGGGTCCTTGAACATGGCTCTTACAGATCTTGGTGTCTGAAATCAATTTTCAAATTAAAGGACATATTGGTATTAGTGGGATTAGAAACTATCTAATTGCATTTCTGTTTCATATTATAGATAATCCACGACACACTGTGCAGTATTATGTATGCATTTGTCAGAATAATAAAGGTTATAAACGCATGGCTTATGAACATAGTTCTATTCCCATGGAATAAATAATATAAATTATTATCTAAGTTTTTAATATATCAGATATTTAAATTTTTTAATGTAGTCTCTTATTTTTACTTTTTAAAAATGTATCTTTCTTAATATATATATATATATATATATATATATATATATATATAATGGTCCTTTGTGATTTTGTTTTTCACATATGAATATGGTTCCTCGAAATATATAATATTCTATTTAATATATTTAAATGTTATAAATTTTTATTTGATCCCCTGAAATGGGGACTAAAAAATTTCACTCACCCTTTAGTTTTATAACATGTTTAAATTAAGTATAACGTTTAACAATTTACGTATATTACTGTTTTAAGTTAAACTATTGCTGCAGAAGTGGGATTAGTATTAGTTCCAACCTAATAAAAAGAGTAAGCTCTGGTCGATTTCATCTTCAAATTGATGAGAGTTTTGAAGCGTTACCTGAATTTCTGTTCTCAAACAGCCGTGCAGTGCAACCACAGTATACCCAAATTGACGAAGAACAGCTCCAACTTTTACGTACTGTTGCCATGGAAATCTGTGACAGTACCTAGAATGCCTCGGCTCCCAACTTGCATGTAATGCCTGGCCAATTCGAAATCGAATATCTCTTTTCAGTGATTTATTAAATTCCAAATTAAGGAATGTACATTAAAACATGACACATGGGTTGGGCTTATATACCAGTGTTTCATCAGTGGATTTTGAATCCAAAACAGCTTTATAACCTTTGTATATTGGATCCTCTGACAGTTTCATATCTACAGATCCTTCAATTTCTCCGTAGAAGTATTCATTCACACAAGCTGCAACATTTTACCTTCACTGGGTTAATTTACATGTGTGTATATATGTATATATATATATATATATATGACAATGAAGTGAATCAATGTTTCAGAAGAGAAAATGGGTCATTGCAATATAAACATAGTAAAACGCAATAATTTATCCATGTGCTGTGATATTTTGTTGTATTAATGATATTAAAAAATAAAAGTAAGAAAAAAAAATTAAAGTCCTACCTTCGATCCTATCTATAAAAAAAATAAATGCTTAATTTTTTAAGACTAATAAAAAATATTGTATGTCATTAGTTTATACTCAATTTTAGAAATATTCATAACATTAAATGATTAAATTGGTATATTACGTATTAAATAAATGAGTATATCTACTTTAATGGATAAAAAATAAAAAGTTAATAATTAATAAATCTGAAAAGGCGTTTTTTTCTTATATTTAAAAAAGAATTAATAATTATTTTTTATAAATAAGATTGAAAGTAATATTTGTGAAGGATCTAACGTCCATATGTATTAAACAAAAACATAACGTGCCTTGATTCCTTAACTAACATTATATGAGTTTGTATACCTTCTATAGATTTGGCAAGGCCTTCAAGCTTGTAAACCGTGCAAATATGAAGGTCTTCTCCTGACCAATTTGGAAATATGAGTAGACTCATCAGAAGGCAAATAGCACAGCCTATGGCTATGGTGTATACGCGGTCGTGTGCAATCTTCAAGAAATTGTCAACCCGGTAGCTCGACACAGTAATCAGGTTGAAAGTCAAGAGAAATATAACTAGACCATAGTCATAGTTTTTCTTTATATAGGGAATGAACCTCATATAAGTAGCTATAGCTCCTGCAATAACAAATTTTGTTCAAGAGTAATAATGTTTAGTCATTAATTAGTTGTCACTACTGTTAAAAGGTCTTTGTATCCTAACCATTTGTTCTCTTTATTGAGTATATTATGGTAATATGAACTTGAAAACTAAAATCAAAGTGAATTAACAACAACGTTATAGAATTAACAAAAACAGGCTTTATTGGATTAGGAAAGCTTAATTTCAAGTCTTAATTTCATTGCCGTATTTCTTTTGAACTTGTAAAGCATGTATATATCTATACACACCTACAAGAAAAACTGCAGCTCCAATGATAATAGCTTGAAAGACTCGGCCAGATGCATGTGCAACATAACCAACAAGAAATGCCAATAATCCTGCTAACAGTGTTCCCAATCCTCTGTTGAGCCCTTTGCATAAAGTTGCCCCTGGAACCAAAACAATGAAAAATAGTAAGGTCATCCAACCCATGCATGCAGAAAGGATTTCACACACACATACAACAACAACAACCAAGCTTTATCCTAGACTATACTATGCTCTAAAGCTTGTCAAAAATTAAATTTTCAGAAATATGATTAATCAAATGTTTCTTTTAATAAATTCATCTAAGGGTTCACACACACACGTAGAGAGATATAAATAGGAAACATATCAAAGTGAAAGAGTGAGGTTGAGAAAATTAAATTGCCTGCGGTGAACTCGAGCACTACCACCACGGTCATGACAGCCCAAATTGCACTTTGTCCAATCCCTTTGAAAAGTGGCTCCGACAAATACAACAAAGAAACAAGAGTCAAAGACAAACCCACTTTGAATGCATGGATCAACCTTCTTGGATCTTCACGTCCCACTTTCCACGTAGTATGCCAAGCCAAGCAAGGAAATCTCCTCACTCTTTCACCAAAAACTTGCACACGTTTCTTCCAGTTCCCATTGATTCTACAATTCTCATTCTCAACCATTGCCATTTCCTGGCCAGCATGAACTTTTGGCACCATTTCTTAATCAAGGTGAAGAACTAGATTGAGACTATAGTGGAAGCAGGTGGAAAGACTGTGACAATCGGAATGCAACAAGTTAACGGGCTTCTCAGGTGGTGCTTCACGTTTCAGCCCAAGAGCAAGTATCCATGACAGAAGAAACGCTTTTAAAAACGGGAAAAGGAACTGATATTTTTGTCATTTTGTGGGTTAATGGGGAGTCTAGATGTATGATTTGAGAGCCCCATTTTGGTCCATGAAGCGAGTGTGAACTTTATAAGGCGGGTTATTGGTGTAGAAGCTGGCAGTGTCATTTCTACATTCACGTGCATTCCATTAAAGTATCAATGCTTTTAAGTGAGTATCGTTCTCAAGTCTTAAAGCTAAGAGTGAACTCCAATAATACTAGTATTATTTTTGTGGTCAATAATTTCATGTTACCTTGATAATTACATTTTAAGTCCATTTTTATGGAGTTCAATATAAGGAGACAAAACATGTAAACCATTAAAAATCGGCAAAAGAATGTCTAGAATTTTCGTCACCACCACAATTAAACCGATATATAAAAAAACTAAAATTAATTTTGTTGTTGAATAACGTGAATGTGACTACTTGCACCGACTAAGGTACGTACATAGAAGTACAATGAAGAACTTGATTAGGTTCAACAAACGGGAAGCTCAATCATTCACGTATTAACATAAATGTTCAATCACTGCTTATGCTTGGTGACAATCTTTTTGTTTGCAAATTCCAGTTTGCTTTGCCTCGTTCTAGTTGACCTAACTCTAAGGGATCGAGGGTGTTAAGCAAGCAAACAGTGTAAGCAATTGTTGAATGGCATTAAAGAGTTTAGCTGCCAGCTGCAATATGATATTGTTCAAACTTGTAATGATACTGTGATTGCATGTAGCACAGTCCCAAGGTGCTGTTGACTCCTTGTGTTTGAACCTTCACGGGAAAACGGAAATGCAACCAATAATGGCCATAATATGGTATCAAATTATCAGTAAAAGGGAAGAACCGTGTGAACTGTTGTGTTTGATATTATAGCTTTTTGGAATCAGAGCGTATGTGTGTTGTGTTGATTTCTTTCTTTTTCTTTTGTGTTGTTCTATTGGTAAGCGGTTCTCTCGTGCATTTCCAACTTCTCCATGATTCCACCCGTTTGAAGCTGAGAATTCAACACGTGGCTCCATAAACAAATTGCCATCTGTGTTGTTCAGTTATATATATATTTGAAACTTAAATTGAGACACTTTGTGCCGCTACTAGTCATGCATCAACCCTAACAACTGGTTCAGTTGAATCGTTTGGATCGGTTTCTTCCGATTTGGTATGCAAAAGGGTTGTCAAGAATGAGATCAGCCTTGCACATTACTTACATAGCCCAACGCCATTTTTTGTTGTCTACACCCAACAACATATTGAGTCGCATACCTTAAACATGAAATCTTTGAGCCTATCTTAGCCCAATCAACGTAAAGTTTGATTAATTATAAGATCAAATATTTAATTTTATAATGACCAAATGTTTAATCATGTGGGACCCACGTGTTAGAAGGAACTGGCGAAGAATAAAGCATCATTGTTAATATGAGTACATTAAAAATAATTTAACTCTTTCTTGGTTTATTAACCTATTTTTTTAATATAACAGCTCAGAAGTTTTAAGTCAATTAAAAATTATTAAATTTTATTTTAGACTTATTAACAACAATTAAAACTGCGATTATAACATATTTTACTTTAACCCAAATTTTACAGGGACACAGTACACCAAAAATAAAACAAGGTAGTAAACTAAAAAAACTAGAGTAGTAAATACCTTACTGTATTTTCTACATTTAAAAATATTGTAGAGGTAAAAACAGTAGATTAATGCTATATTTGTAACAAATTCTCACAATATTTTGCAAATTTTTTTGTTTTTTATTTCCCTCCATCAGATCACTCATTTTACCTCCGACTTCTCTCGTTTCTCTTTCTATCTCTTTCTTAAATTGTGAAGATTGTCGTAAAAATCTATCAAAGCAAATAATTTTGCTGTTTACTTTCGATCGATGCTCAAGAATCCTATAAACATACTTGTAAAGGAATGAAAAAGCAATAGTATTTAATACTGAATATAACATTTGATAGATTAAGAACTCAAAAAACTTTACTCATTGTTTAAATACATGTTATTTTTTGAATCCTTGATTAGTGCCTTCAAAACACTAGATAGTATTTCCCTATTTCTTATTTTCAAGCAATGGCAGCAACCAACAAAATTTCAGACATTCAAAAGATAAGCTAAAGGAAGACAATGTTTTATTTACATATTCCTGATTATCTTACGTCCCACGGCATATTGTGAGAGATTGAGGACAAAGAAACTCCAACGACTGCAAGGAAATGTGAGAGTTCGTAGCATATCAGTGCGAGACTACGAACTTGCCCCAAATACACGGATTCTCTGTTCGATTGGAACTCGGCAGCATGGACAGACAGCTTTGGCCTTTCTCCCATACTGTTCACTGCAGCTAGCACACATAATTTGGTGTGCACATGGCAAGAAAATTATGGAAAGTTCATCTTTTCCACATATAATGCATTCTCTATTACCGTTGCCTTCTTTTTCTGAAGAATCCTTTGCATTGTCTAATTCTTGTAGAAGCTCATCAATTGTCTCATTTTGGGGCTCTACATCCTCACACTCATTTGGGGGCATAGTCCTAGCTCGATGATGAAAATCAGCAGAATGTGCAGATGCTTTAAGACGTGAAATCTCCTGCTCAAGCCTCAGAAGATCATCCTTACGACGCTGGAAATCTATCTCAATCTTCAGGCGTAAAGCCTTAAGATTTCTTTTATTATTAGTATCAGCTGCTTCCTTAGAACGGCGTTCCTCTTCAATTAGTGCTAAGGCTTCCTCCTTAGCCTTCAATTCTTCCCTCCCCATGACCTGTCACATGTTATTATGCAGATCATTCATAACAAGCATATGCTCTGATCAACAGATAGTTATATATAAAATGTAATTTCAGGAAATAGGAAACATCAAAAAGAAATTTACGAAAGCACCAAACAGAAACAGCAGTTTTCATAGCATGAGATTAAGGGAACATTGAATGGTATGAAAGTTGTATTCAGTTCCATGCTGACAAAATCGTAGCATACTAATTGACCTGAGAACAATCAACTGAGAGAAAATTCAGGTAACATTGATGAATAGTTAGATGATTCACTTCCATGATAAATCAGAAAACAAGAAATGCTATGCCTGAAAGACACAAGTTCTTCACATGCCCGCTGACATGCATACATGCAAATACACGAATGTCATACCTGACAATTGGAGCAATTTTGTAAATAAAATGAGCTAATCAAGACTATTAGTAGAATATGTGAATTCATTCATGTGGCAACAATAATAGCCTTATCCCACTACGTGAGAATTCTTTTAAGTGAAACCACTTCAATTTTAATTGGTCTCACACTAAATATAACAGAAAATGCACATTGTCCTAAAACACCATCGACTTATAAACATACCAAGAAACACAGACAAAAACATAATGAATGTGTGCAATTCCAAGTGCCTATTAGGATTATAGGTGTTATGTTGTTTTCGTTAAGATATTAGCAAACCTCAGCATCTTTTTCACACTGTTTAATCTGAGCCAATTCTTCTTCTATCTCCAATATCTTCTGTTTTTCATCTGAAATATTCTGTTGTATCTTGGCCTTCTGTTTCTCCCAAGCTTGAAGCCTCTTTAAGCACTTTTTCTCCCTTTGCATAACCTGCTTGCAGGCTGAAACTGACTCTGATGCACTTAATTTAGAAGCCTCCAACTCTGCTCTGATTTCAGCATTCTCCGCCTCTAGTTTTCTGACAATTGCATTTGCTTGGTCCATTTGACCGCTAGCCCTCCTTAAGGCATTCTCCATTTCTGAGAGTCTCTTCATGGTTGTGTCATCAAGTGCCTCTTTCCCTTTCTTCAGTCGTTGGTTTGCCTCTCTTTCCATCTTTAATTTTCTCACCTCAATCAGATCACTGCTTAGCTTTCTTGCAGCTTGGATTGCCTTCTGATGAGCCCAATCTTTTTGCTCCTCAACCTGTTTCTCAAGATCCTTAATCTGATGAGCTAGAGTGACTATCACCTCATCCTTCTGATCTTCTACCACAAACTCTGAATTCTCACCAATATTTAGATCAAGCAATTTACTCAGCACTGAATTCAAGTCTTCTTGGTTATTCAGAGGGTGAAATTCAACAGACTGCTTGCCCAGGACCGGAGTCCCAGAAACTGATGAAGAATCCAATTTCGAAATGGTGCTAATGCTAGGAATGGCCTTGGCTTGTGGCTGCAACTGTTTTGAGTTAGCCCTAAAATTGGCAGCAAACATTGCAACATTTCTTTTCAATAAGGACTTCATGGAAGGAGAAAGATTAAATCTTTTTGGGAATACAATATCCCTCTGTAACTGAAAATTAATCCCCGGACCATAAGAGAAGAAACCATTCACAGGAAATTCTATGGATTCCCCATGAAACTTTTGTAGAGGTGGAGCATTAACACCAACTGCATTGTTACCAATACCTGTATTCTCAACTGCAGCATAAGAAGGACACTCGTTGCCAACCGGAATTTGGATGGTGCTGGCCCTTCCCACATGAAAATTACTCATGAGGAGACACCACATAGCATCACCTCTATTCAAATTGGGCCTCACTTCTTGTAACAGAGACACAATACCCGCCAGAGTGTATTCTGTGAGCTGCTTCAAGTCAGAGAACGCAGGGTTGAATCCACAATTATCAAAATTTCCACTATTCAGACAAGCCAAGGAGTTCTGTAGTATGTTTGTGGACACATCCATGCCACCATAACAATGCCCATTTCGCAGAATCGTTTTGACGGCAACATCCTCGTTGTAGCCCAAAGCAACAAGCTTTGACACAGTATTATTGTATATAATTTCAATGTTTTTCAACAGAATCTCTTCCAATTGACCCTCCATACACAAAACCCAACCCGATGAGTCAACGTTAGGGTTTGAATTGGGATTGAGACCCAACTCAACATGGTTTTTAAAGGGTACCATCCATTTTTTGTTCAAATTACAGGATGAATCGAAATCGGGTTTTGCCGAATGAAGTTTCCGATTCCCTCGAATTTGTTTTTCCCTCGCAGAGCAACCCATATATTATTCCTATAATTTGGGTCAATTAATTGAATATATGCAGAGACAGAAGAAAATAAAAAAAAATGAAAATAAAACGAATAGAGAGACTCACAGTATGGTGAAAGAGAGCACAGAGAGATGAGTGTGGTTTCGGTTTGGTTCGTATCCGTTTAGCTTACTTCAGGAAAGTCACTGCTCACTGTCCACTGAAAGTCTAATGGGTTTCGTGTATTTATAGCTTTCTCTACGTGGGCCCCCATCTGCTTAAAGTTTGAGCCCATCCTCTTCCCCTCGGGTGTCCAAAATTCAGGTTTGAAGTTGTGTCAGACCCACCATTTTTTTTGGTACAGAATATATTTTTTACAAATTATTTCACCTTTTGACCCTAAAAAAAATATTTATATTAGATAGAGAATTGTTCGGTCTTACATTTAAAAAAAAAAAATTAAATACCTATTTGACCTAGTTTGATTGAATACTTTGTCAGGATTAGAAGATAATTAACTCAATTAAGAGTAATAATCAGGGCATTATTTACTTTAAAGTAAAGGATCAAAACTCAAGGCTGACTCAGCAGGTCTATTAGCCCATAACAATGCTTATAAAAAGAATGTAGAAAATACAGGTAAATGGTTGACTTGTCATTATTATATAATATTTATTGCTCAAAATCGAATTCTAACTTCAGCATCAGAGTGTCTTTTGCAGGTATCCTCTCCACGTCAGCAACAGTCAGAAGGACGTCACCGTTTCAGAGCAGAGACTTGAAGATTAGTGTTTCTCTAATAGGAACATTTTGGTGCCCACCGTGGGGCACAATTGCCTTACTTTTTCGATCAATATGGTACTAACAAGAAGCCAATAGGACAGACATATTCAGCGGGAGGAACTTCACAGCAGCAGCAAGAAGATATCACACCTAACCAACCGACACCTGAGGTTCTGGTGGAAGGAGGAACTGACGAGGGCCTTTTAGAGGTGTTAATGCAGCTCAAAACAGAAATGATGGAGATGAAAAAAGAAAGGGAAAAAGATGTCCTGGAGCTCTCGGTCTTGAGAAGGGAAAATGCCCACTTAAGAGAAGAAAAAAGAACACACATCCCTTCCCAAACTACACCTCTCGCCCAGGATCAGGGGGAGTCTTCGACGTTACAAGAGAAACCGAGACTAATGCAGCAATCTGAAACCAAGAATGACCGAGATAATGTAGTGAGCCGAAGCCCGTTTGCTCACCATATATTGGATGCTAAACTACCTGACAACTGGAAAGGCTTAACAATAGAAAAATATGATGGCACAACTAATTCAGGGGAACATCTGGATGTTTTTACAACCCAGGTCGGCCTATACACAGAAAATGATTCCTTATGGTGCAGGATTTTTCCCACTTCACTAAGAGGACCAGCTCTCACTTGGTTCACCCGACTCTCCCCCTCATCTATTGACTCATTCACAACCTTCACAAGACGGTTTAATCTGCAGTTCACTACAAGCCGACCTCACCCATTGACATCTCTGGCGCTTGTTAACATTTGTCAAGAAAAAGGAGAATCACTTCGAGCGTTCATGGAACGATTTAGCAAAGTGACACTTTCCATCCATAATCTAGAACCTGCTGTGGCTATGCACCACCTTATAACGGCTCTTAAGCTCGGGCCTTTTGTTAACAGCATTTGCAAAAAATCGCCAGCTTACTTGGATGAATTGAGGAGTCGGGCTGCAAAGTATATGCAGATGGAGGAATTAGCCGAGTACTGAAATCAAATTTAGATGGACCAGGGGTCCAATTCAAAAAATATTGACAAAAGAGAAACTTTCAGACCCCGGCAAGAAAATAAAAGGAATGAGCCCGAGAGGCCGCCAAGGGGGCTTAAATACCCCTCTTACACCACACTCAACACTAACAGGTCCAGGGTACTTGATCAAGCCTTAGCAACAGAAATCTTGAGTATGCTCAGACGTGCCAACACCCCCCTCGGGCAGATAAGAGCAAATCTTGTCGATACCATCGCAAGAAGGATCATACGACAGAAGAGTGTACGACCCTAAAAGATAAAATTGAAGATTTGATCAAGGAAGGACATCTTTGAGGATTTGTACAAATAAATCCCACTGGTCATATTGAGAGAGGTAGGGACCGATACTCCCAATCTTCAAGAAGGTATGAAGATAAGCAACCTGAGAGACAGAGGAGCCGGTCAAGAGAGCCTCTTGTAAAAAGATATGATGAACGAGAAAAATATCCAAAGAGGGTGATCAACATCATAGCCGATAGGTTTGCTGGCAGAGGACCCACCCATTCGACTAGAAAGAGATATCTCAGACAGGTTCGCTTTGTTAACAACGTTTCATTGGGCAGCAGAATTCAAATTCCGCCTATCACTTTCACAGATGATGACTTTCAAGGAGTGGACCCAGTACAAGATCATCCCATGGTCATTAGTGTAGACATTCTTAATTGCACCGTCCAGAAACATTAATTGATCAAGGGAGCTCGGCCGATATCTTGTACTGGAATACGTTTAAGCAGTTGGGCATACCAAAAGAAGAGCTCAGAGAACATCACGAACCACTGGTTGGTTTCTCTGGGGAACGAGTAGAGACTCGGGGATGTATTGAGCTGTCAGCGCATGAGGGAAAACGTATCAAAGTCACTTATCTAGTGGTACACGTGAATGCCTCATATAATATACTACTCGGCAGGTCATCCCTAAACAAGTTGAAGGCCATAGTGTCTACTCCTCACTTGGCTATGAAATTTCCGTCAGAAAGGGGTCGAATTGTCACCGTTTATGCTGACCAAAAGAGAGCAAGGGAATGTTATTTTGCAAGCCTACGCCTCAAACCATTCCAAGACTATAGACGAGATGTCAATATTGTATCCCCTCGGTCTAGAAAGGACTTGGAGGTTGAATTGGATCCTAGGATTGATGAGGGGTGTCGGGTTGAGCCCAACGAAAATAAGCAACCTTTCCAACATAGACCAAAGCCTGAGCAAGTTACTTATTTGGGGGTCGATTTGTCTGTACAAGAAAGGCAAGACTTTCAGGAAGTACTACAACGTAATGCTGATTTATTTTCCTAGTCGACTTCGGACATACCCAGCATCGACCCTGCATTTCTTTGTCATCACCTATTGGTTTATAAGGGGGCCAAACCGATAGCACAGAAGAAGAGGAAGATTGGCGGTGACATAGCAAAGGTAGTAGAAAAGGAAACGGGTAAGTTACTACAGGCCAGTTTTATCCGAGAGGTCAGATACTCCACTTGGTTGGCCAATGTAGTCATGGTTAAAAAAGTAAATGGTAAATGACGAATGTGCACAGACTTCATGGACCTCAACAAGGCATGCCCAAAGGACGCATACCCTCTACCAAATATTGATACTCTGGTGGGCGGTGCAGCCGGCCACAGGATACTCAATTTTTTGGATGCTTATTCTGGGTATAATCAAATCCGGATGTATCCCTCAGATGAAGAGAAGACGACATTCATCACGAACTCAGCAAATTTTTGTTATCGAGTAATGCCATTCGGCCTGAAAAATGCGGGGGTGACGTATTAGAGGTTGATGAATAAAATTTTTGAAAAATAAGTAGGGAAATGCATGGAAGTGTATGTAGATGATATGGTGGTTAAATCTACTGCCTTCGAACAACATCTCGCTCATTTAAAGGAGGTGTTCGGGGAAGCCAGACGACATGAGATACGGTTTAACCCAGAGAAGTGTACATTCGGCGTAGCTGGTGGCAAGTTCTTGGGGTTTATGTTATTCGAGAAAGGGATCCAGGTGAACCCTGACAAGTGTCAAGCTATCATCAACATGACTAGTCCTCGAAATGTCAAGGAGGTCCAAAGACTTGCCGGTTGTATTGCTGTCCTTGCCAGATTTTTACCTATCATGGCAGACAGGTCTCGGCCCTTCATTGACTTGCTTAAAAAATCCCAAAAGTTTGTTTGGATTGACAAATGTGAAGCGACCTTCATCCAATATAAAAAAATGTTAGCAGCACCGCCTGTGTTAACAAAATTGAAACCCGAAAAAGATATAATTATTTACTTGGCTGTATCAGAAAAAGTCATCAGCTCGATCTTACTACAAGAAACGCCTGAACCGGTCCCTATCTACTTTATCAGCAGGACATTCCAAGGTCTCGAATCCCGCTATCAGCTAATGAAAAAAGTAGTGTTAGCCCTAATCCACACAGCTCGGTGGTTAAGACATTACTTCCAAATTCATCGAGTGGTGGTGCGAACCGATTGCCCAATGGCTAAAATTCTAAGAAAACCAGAGCTAGCTGGTCGGTTAGTAGCCTGAACGATCGAGTTGTCCCAATTCGATATTCATTTTGAAAATCGACGCCCCCTTAAAGCTCAAGTACTGGCCGATTTTGTCAATGAGTTCACTGTCCGAAAACATACCAGCTTGGATATGTGGAGCCTACATGTCGATGGATCATCAAACCAACTGGGTAGTGGAGCAGGAATTATACTCAAAGGGTCAAATATTGTAACTATTGAGTAATCTATTCGGTTTGGATTCAAAGCCTCCAACAATCAAGCCGAGTATGAAGTTCTACTAGCCGGTCTCAGATTGGCAAAAAAAAATTAGAGTAAAACGTATCACTTGTTAGAGTGATTCAAAGATAGTGGCCGAACAGGTCAATGGAGAATATCAGGTGAAGGATTCGGTAATGCTCCAATACTATCAAGAATTCAAAAATATAAAGGATAATTTTGATGAGATACATGTTTAACATACGCCAAGGATCATGAACGAACAAGCCGACAGGCTTGCTAGACTTGCTAGTCAAAGGAAACCTGGGCAATTACAAAGCGTGATTCATCAGGAAATCCCTCAACCTAGCATTGTCAAACAAGAGTGCATGGACATAGAAAATATGCCTCAAAATTGGATGACCCTGATCATTCAATACCTCGCCAGCAGCAGCTTACCAACGGATCCAGCTTCGGCTAAGAAAATAAGAATGCATGCAACTAAGTATCTTCTTTTCGGCAAAGAATTATATAGAAGAGGAATTTCAACACGGATGCTTAAATGTCTTGATGAAGATCAAGCCAGCTATGTCATGAGGGAGGTTCATAAAGGTATCTGTGGTACCCATTCGGGTGGACGAACCATGGCGGCAAAAATACTAAGAGCTGGATACTTTTGGCCGACTCTCGCCCAAGATTGCCAAACATTT